ACAAGGTACTCTGCATCTGGGGTGCTTTTTAAGGGGACCCTCAGAAGCTGAGTCTTGTGCTGATGATACAATTAAATTTCTCAATTATAGTAGTGGTTATATGAATCTATACCTGGGATAAAATTGCATTAAGCTATAGACACAGAAGTAAGTGCACATATAACTAGTAAAACATGAATAGGCTGTATCTAATTTCCTGGATTTTGTATTGTAGTATTGTACTGTAGTTTTGCAAGATGTTCACATTTGGGAAAATGGTGAAGGGTGCTTGGAAATGTCTTTGCAAATTTCTATGAATTTGTAATTATTTCAGTATAAAGTAGTTTAAATTAGGGAAGAGGGGTCTCAGTACTGGAGCACTTCATCTACAACAATGCATAGTGAGTGAACTTGAATCTGCAACATCTTAAGCAAAAATAGTACTTCTATGTCCAGGCTGAATAATATTCTTGAAGAAAAGGATGGAGCAGGGTACCTTAGTCAGCATATTCAAAATGGGTTAAGGTCTTCAGTTACTTGACAGAAGGATGCTCTCTCTGTTAGCATCAAAGTCAATCCTTGGCCCTTTTTTGGAAACCAGTAAGCAAGCAGTTGAGTTGTAGTAGAGATTAACAATAATCCTGAAAGCTCAGAAAACACTGTCTTGGAAGACTGCCATTTAAAAACTATATTGGCCTTAGTGTCACTAACTGCCACTTAGTCATCTGTAAGTACTTATTGAATATCCAGTGTGCGTAGGCACTTCTTATTCTTCTAAGTGCTTGGGATATGTCCAGGAACAAAATTAAGAACTCTAATAGAGTAGGGCTTATGTTCTAGCATGGGGAAGAGGCAGGAAGAGAAATAGTGTAAGAGAATTATATAACATACTAGAAGGCAATGACTGTTATGGGAAGAGGGAGGACCAAGAACCAGGAGATTGTATGATGTAGATCAGGAGAGTCTTCCTCACTTCTGTGAGTTCTTAAGGATGTGCTAATACTGAAATCGTTCTGCCTGCTATCAAATTACATTATTCCTTTCCACTTCCTCCTCATCTGTCTTCTTCCCTGCACTGTTTACTCTGGCTTTTCTCTTTGCTCTTTTTGTTGTTGTTGTTGATTCTCCCTTATTTCTCTCCTTGGGTGTCATTTTCTCCATTGTGGGTCTCACTTTTTCACTCTTTTTTTGTACCTCTGACTTTCTTCCTCCCCTCACTATTTCTATTTTTCTCCTCCAGTAGACACCATTATGTGGCTTGCTGGTAGAGCAGAGTTCGTGTAATTAAACTGCATGTACCTGGAATTTCATTGTTTATTGTATTGCTTACATGGTAAATATGTCCTGTTATAACTGAAACCAAACTTTCTTCATATAACTTGCCTGATACAGATACAGAATAACTTTAGTTTCATTGACTCTCATCTTGTAGATCTAAGTGCCCAATGAGGGCACCCAGCATTTCTGGAACATGGAAGAATACTCACAAGAATGTTCACAGCAACACCATTCGTGAAAATCAAAACTACACACAGCACAAACAACCATACGTAATTGGATGGATAAATATTTGGACAGTGGAATACTATGTAACAGGGAGAATCAGCGAATGGTTGCTGGTGCCAAAACAGATGATTCCTAGGATTATAACACCAAAGTGAGACAAACACAAATAAGGGGAAAATGGAATAATTGAATTATATTTATTGTAGCTCAAATAAAACATATTTTAGTAGGTATGGTGATGTTCACTGTAGTCCTAGCACTCAAGAAAGGAAGATCACAGGTTCAAGGATAGCCTTAGCCATATAGCCAGAGAAAGGAAGAAAGGGAAGGAGGGAGGGAGGGAGGGAGAGAGGAGAAAAGAAGAAAAAAAGGTTTTAGAAATAAAGACAGCTTGAGGCTGAAGAGATGGCTCAGTGGTTAAGAGCACTGCCTGCATTTGCAGAGGGCCTAGGTTCGATTCCCAGCACCCACATGGCAGCTCACAACCATCTGTAACTCCAATTCTAGGGGAGTCTGACACCTTCTGACCTCCTTGGACACTGCACCATACAAATGCACCTACCTGCATGCCAGCAATACACTCATACACATAAAATAAAAATTTTTTTTTTAAAAAAAAAGAAAGACAGCTATCACTGGGGGCAGTAGCTGGGGGTAATATGGGAGGGCTTCTGGGAGCTAGTTATGTTTCACGTGGTAATATGGGTGTGGGCTAACTGGGATGTACTTTATTGTGAAAATCCTCCAAGCAGTACATTATAGTCTGTATGGTTTTTATACGTATGTTGTACTAGAATGAAAAGTCTGCTTAAAATAATGAAAGCTATTCTACAGAATAATCTGGAACTATTTGAGTGAGAAATGTAAAAGTTAACTAAGAGATCTGTGAGGAACATTGTTTATTGCACTGATAAATCTACAAATTGAAATCACATACACACAAATGAAAGTGGATTAAGAATATATCCAAATAATGAGTAATGAGCAGAAGTGAGCTGGGGATGTAGGATGTAGAAATTGTATGATAGCTTTTCTCAAAAGGACATGACTGGGTAGTGTGAAAGGTAACATTAGAGCCTGATGTGATAGTGCACACTGTAAGTACAGCACTGAGGGGTCTGAGGCAAGAGTGTCACTAATTTGAGGCCAGCCTAGACCCTGTCTCAAAGAAGAAATCTCCAAAACAAAAACAAAAAGGCAAGTTTACATGTATTAAATAAGGTCTATAAATATTTCCAAATTTATGTGTGTTAATTTTGTTTTTCACTTGTTATTGAATCTCATATATAATCCTGGGATCCTATAGGTTAGAAATATAACAAAAGACAGATTTAATTTCAAGTAAGTTTCCATAGACAATACAGAATATACAATATGCTTTTTATTCATAAAATGCACAGTAGAGACAGTATTCCTAGAGAATACTTGTGAAACAAGTCTACAGTCACAATGGACCCAAGACTCTAGCTACAAGACTCTAAGTGGAACTTTAGTATTTCCTTTAAGAAAAAAAAAGAGCAGTACATCTTTCCTCTTTTGAACAGAGGTATTCATCCATTTTCTGCAAGACTATTGCATTCACTCTTTAGAGATATGATCACTATGAAACTGAGATGGCATTTAAATTCTGGTATGCCCTGATGAGATGCAGCCAGAATCAGGGTCAACTGCCTTGATAAGCTACTTGATCACCTTACTTCAGAAGTTGACCACATGGTTTCTGATTGTATTTAAGAAGAAACCAGAGATAGTATGTTATGCCTTTGGATACCAAGCACATCTAGGAATTCCACACATCTGTGCCAAAAGGACATGTAGTTCTGTCAGGGAGAACATCTCAACTAAGGGCCTGAGTCCTTGTTTTTCTCTAGAAATGAAGTACAGTTTCACTCTAGTATAAATTATATAGGCTTAGTACATAAAACCAAAGTCTATGTGTTAGATGGATACCTAAAAAATGTTGACTCAGAAAAGATTAAGTAAAAAAAGATACGAAATTTTCTGGCTTAAAATACAGGTTTAAAATTTTTTTTTTCAATCTATACATTCCAAACTGATTTTTTTTTTCATTTTCATGTTGACTTCATTTAGAATGCTTTGTCTTCAAAAGCTTTTAAAAAAATAATATTATTTTTATTTTATGTGTATGAGTGTATTGCCTTCATGTATGTGAGTGCCCCCATGTCGTGCAATGCTGCTGAGGTCAGAAGAGGGTTTCAGATTCCCCTGGAACTGGAGTTAAGGACAGTTTATAGCTGCCATGTGGGTGCTGGGAATCGAACCTGGGTCCTCTACAAGAGCAGTCAGTGCTCTTAACCACTGTGCCATCTCTCCAGCCCCTCAAAAGCTTATTTTAAACACAGACTACTATGAATATTTTACTTTTTAGATCATTTTGAAAGTGGATAGAATTCCATTACAGGTTACTTACTGTATATACTATATTACATGGACAAGTTCGTTTTTATCTCTGTGGTCTTACATTAAAATGAGTTTTGCTCAAATTCATCTTCTGTTAGAATTTTTAAAATATTTTTAAAAATCTATTTTCATGTGTATGAGTGTTTCACCTATATGCATGTGTGTTAGTGCACTCAAGGGTGCAGTGCTGAGGCCAGAAGAGGATGTGGGATCCCCTGCAACTGGAGTTATGGGTAGTTGTTGCTGGGAACCAACCTTGGTCCTCTGCAAGAGCAGTCAGTGCTTTTAACCACTAAGCCATCTCTCCAGCCCTCAAGCCATGAACTCTTGATCCTCTTGCCTCAGCACCATCAAACCTGACTTTCATGTCAGATCATAAGTAGTCAAATCTGTATCTACCACCACATAAGGACTACTTCTATACACTAAGATAAGTTAAAACTACATTTTAAAATTAGAGCTTATCAGATATTTTCTTTTGTGGTCTGTACTTATACTGGACAATGGATTCTATAAGCCTTGCAATCTTAATTGCTTTACTTCTCTGCCTCGGTGATTTTAAAATATATTAGCTCAGTTCAGTACTTTTTAAGTGAACCATTTTTAGCATGAAAGAGATCCTGAATTCTGATTATTTATCTGATCACAGATAGTAATACTTCATTATTAGGGAGTGACCAAACTTGCATTTTTAAAACTTTATTTCCCATAATGACTTTTTTGATAAGTGCATTAATAATTGTATTTCACCATTTACACTGTAATCAATGCAGCACATGGATTTTGATGTCAGTCAAAGAACGATCTTTCCTTTCGCCTCCTGGCTCACCTGTCCATAAAGGCTGTTGGGTCAACATTTAGTGCAAATTAACAGATCGATTGGTCCCCTTGTGGACACTGATAGCAGTATTGTCCTGGGGGAGCAGTGGAGTGTGATAACATCAGCACGGTCCAGTCATTGCTAAATCTCCTAACTGTACTTTAGAGCTAAGCTGTTAGTTTTCTGCATAAAGCACATAAATAATGCTTTTCATGTAATGTCCAAGAAGTTTTTTAAAAATCTTTGGATTTTTTTAAATGTAGAAGAAAAAAGAATGTCTTTAAGTGCAAAGAAATAGTCAGTGCAGAAAATGCTTGCATAGAATGACATATATCAATAGGAAAATTCTGTCTTGCAGTCCTTCATGATAGTGATCTCCTGAGCCTGCTTTCAGGAAGCAAGTCTGCGCATAGCCTGTGGAAGAAAAGGGAAATAAAATACCCCAACTGAATTCTCTTCAGGTCTACATTATCTTCTAACAAATATGTTTTTATAATATTGGTTGCTTAGTTTTACTCAGATGTGCATCATCACAATAAAAACAGGGAAGGCAGTTTTGATGCCCATCACGCTTGAGCTAGATTTATGTAAAGCAATAATTGCTGTTTCTTAAGCACTGTGTACAAAGCACCACTCTTGTTACTTCTCGTACATCCTTTAATTTTCATCACTCTGGTATTATTATCTCTATTTTACATGCGGATACTGAAATGAAACAAGGTTCAGTTAGCTGAAGAGCCAGTAAGAACCAGATTGAGGCCTAGCCCTCAGGTCTTTGTGGTTTCAAATCCCAGACCCTTGAGACCACTGTGCTACACTGTTTCAGCACCTCAGAAGCTGTACCTGAATGGTCCTTTTATGTGGGCATCAGTAAATTAGTCCATGATGTGGTAGCTACTTAAGTTCCTGAGATGTTTTCTTGTTTTGTTTTTTAGAACAAGTTCTGTAGCCCAGAATGGCCTCGAATTCCCTATGTAGCTGAGGATAACCTTCAACTTCTTATCTTCCTGCCTCCATCCCAAAGTATTGGGATTACATGTGCCCAGTTTATTCTGAATATCAAACCCAGGGCTTCATAAAAACTGGAAGTGATGACTTAGCTGCTGGGCCAAGACACCAGGCTTGCGATTTTCATTCTACTATTACCTTTTCTCCACAGAATTCTCTGCCTATCCTCCCCTAACATCTCCAAAGGAACTTTCCTGTTTTCATTTTCCCCTCCTATGAAACTGTCCTTTCAGGATTATTGTTTTTGTTTTTTCTTTTTTTTTTTATTGAACTTTTTGGAATTTCATACAATATACTGAATACCCCTGCCCAATTTCATGTACTCCATACTTAAGTGTACATACACTTAAGTGTGTACATGTACACACACACACACACACACACACACACACACACACATAGCCTATAAAGTCACATTTGTGTCCCAAATGTCCTTTGGTGTGGGTCCATCACTAGAGCCTGGTCAACCTACCAAGAGTCCCATTCTTAGATTGACTCTCCCTCCTGGCAACTGTCTCCTTTCATAATTTAAAAAAATTTTTCCCTGGATAGTTCTTAAAACTGTTCACTGCTTGCATTACTCAAGATTTCATCCAAATCCTTTTTTCAGGAGAAAAGAGTAATCATACCTCATCCTGGACATCAAGTTCTTCCTCAGTCATTTCTGCTTCCATTAATTCAAGAGGATCTTTACAGTCTTGAATGAGCGTGATCTTGACAAAGAGAACACACAGCATTTATTGGAAATATAATAGCATGCTATTATAATAGTTTTGCTAGTGCTTCTCTCTGTGACCTATAGACTTCAGAATCCTCTTCAGATTTCTGGTTCTTTTGCATTTCATCTTGGGATTTTCCCTGCACCATTTTTTCACATTCTGGTATCCTGGCACAGTTCTCCCTTGTTTAATCTCCTTTACTGCTCTCTTTGACCTCTGAAGTGTGTGCCTCTTAACAAGGCACCCCACACTGCCTCCACCCAAGCAGTCAGTAGTGCTTGTCTTCTGACAGCAAAGTCAGGAGCACTCAGTACAGTTTCGAGCACACTGATCACACCGTGGAGGGCTGGTGACAGGACAATATAGAGTCCAACTTACCTTGGATAGAAATTAATTTTCTTGAAGGAGGAGTTGACTATTAAGGAAAGTTCTGCTCTTAGGGGCAATATATCATCTAATTCTCTCCACAGAGGAGATCATCAACAACTTGACTTTGTCTTATGCATGATGAAAGACATCTCTAAAGCAAGACCAAGTATATACCAAGGCTAAGTCCCCATTCAAATGATCTTATTGTGTTAGAGAGGTAGGGGTTAGGTGTAACTACAAATTATGACTGTTGCCGGGCGTGGTGGCACACACCTTTAATCCCAGCACTAGGGAGGCAGAGGCAGGCAGATCTCTGTGAGTTCAAGGCCAGCCTGGTCCACATAGGGAGTTCCAGGACAGCTGGGGCTACAGGGAGACCCTGTCTCAAAAAGACCAAAGAAAAAAAAAATATGACTGTTCTGGGATCGTGCCTATGGTAGTAAAGTAGAAGGATAGATCTCTGCATCTACAACATCCTTAATATACAAATGACTCTTCCTGAAGAGAAGGAAAACCCCTAGGGAAGGCTAATGGTTGTTTACTACAACTAGATCCTGAGGAGACAGACAGGTAAGGTTCCTGACTTCACTGGCACCAGTAATGGTCAGCCCACTCTACAAGTATTCCTTTATATGCCAGCTGACATACTCAGAGTAAAAATAAAAATCTGTCCCAGCCACTTAATGCCTTACTGATTGCAAATAAAATTGAATCTAATGTACTGCGTACACTCTTTCTCAGTGAATTTTATGCCATTCATTGCCTAAGATATTAGATCAGAATGGGTGTTCAAAAACTGAACAACTATTTTCATGGTTTTGTTTACCTTTAATGTGGGGTCCTTTTAAAGATATGTGAGCCAGATTTGTTTTTAATCTATGTGTTAGAAAAATGTTGGATTCAAAAAAAGGTGGTAAGTTTACATGGGACTTTTATTTTACAATTTTTTATTTTATGTGTATGAAAGTATTGCCTGCATACACATAAATACACCTGTGTCATGCAGTGGCACGGAGGTCAGAAGAAAGCATTGGATTTGGATGCCCTGGAACTGGAGCTACAGATAGTTGTTAGCTACCACGTGGGTTCTGGGAATTGAACCTGAGTCCACTGCAAGAACAGCCAGTGCTCCTAACTGCTGAGCCATCTCTCCAGCCCCTCCTTTTTCTTTTTTTAATTTTTTTTTTATTAAATTTGTGTGTGTGCGTGTGTGTGTGTGTGTGTGTGTGTGTGTGTGTGTGTGTGTACGTACTTGACCATTTGAGCATGTATGGAGGCCAGAGGCTGACATCAGGATGTCTTCTTCTATCACTTTCCACCTTATTTTTTGAGACAGGGCCTCTCACTGTATCTAGAGCTGTTTGGGCTAGATTAGCTGGCCAGTGAGCCCTAGGATGCCACCACTTTTCACTCTCTAGCACTAGGGTAACAGACATATACCACCAAACCCAGTTTTGTTTTGTTTTGGGGGAGGGGAGTTTTGTTTTGCTTTTTTAACATGGGTATTGGGGGATCTATCCCTCCACTTGTATATCAAGGACTTTACCCTCTGAGTCATCTCCCCAACTCCTATATATTTTTTTTTCTTTTCAAAGATCTCTTATGAACTAATCATCTTAAGACTACAATTCAAGGATTTCCAGATCGCTGTAATTTATACTACATCTATATACACGAGTCAAAAAAAAAATCCATGATTCAGTGCTCTCTTCTAGAGAAGCATTATACCCAATGCCCACACTTATCAGAAAACCTACACATTGCAGAATTATGTCTTGGACCATACCAAGTACCTTCCTAGAAACTATTTTACTTAGACCTTGAATCTTCCCAGCAAGTTACATGGTTTTATTCCCATTTCAGTGATGAGAAATAATCTCTGAAAAGTTAAACACATCACCTAAAATCCAGCAGTTGAGCTGGGTTTCAGAGGAGAGTTGGATAGATAGGTTAAATATTTACCGTTTCTAGAAGGGAATCTTGGCCCTCTTGTGATTTAACCTGGTTCTGAAGATAGAGTATAGCATCATGAACAGTCAAAAAGAATTTGTCCTTTTTAATGTTATCATCAAAGAAACCACATTGCTCCATCTTTTCTATCACATGATCTGCCAAGGAAAGACAGAATATTTAGTTGCTAGAAAAATCATTTTAGTAAAATCAAAGAATATTGAGTTTTTATAGTGCCTTCATTAGTTTTTATCTTGTTATAAAATGTGACCCTGCACTAAAGTGACTGACTTTCTTGTCCAGCAGCACACAGAATGGTTATCCCACAATTGCTTGTAGACTGCCTTGGTGACATTTTGCCAAGCCAGTGTTTCCATCCCCCAGCTGCTGTGAGCCTGGCTGTTGGTTCACAGTGGTGCCCTTCTCAGACTCCACCAACCCACATTGGTGGCCCGAATCTGTTGACTGAGAGATGAGGGTGTAAAGGCAAGGCCTTAAATAACTGCCCCTGCTGTAGGACTCCTTGTGTAATCAAGAATCATAGGCAAAACTTCTGGAACCATGTGCTTAACCAGCTTCCTCACCTGCTGTATCCCTCTTTCCTCACTTCCTCAACCACTTGTGCAAGAACCCTCATCTCAGGCTCTCATCCCCATCTCAGAACTCAGCCTACATACCAGCACTTTCCTCCATTTACAGACAGACACAGAGACTTATACCCTTGGGATTCCTCCTGTTCCAAGGGATCTAAGTCATCTATAGTTCTGCTCTTCCCCCAAACAATTTCCCCATACTGACCCAAAGCCACTAACAGGAAATAAGTTTTTATACATTGCCAGCTCTGTGGCACAAATTGGAAGTAATAGCTTCCAAAGTTCAAAAATGCTGTTAGAGTTATTGTTTCATTGGTACAGAGTTGTTTGTATAATGAAAAATTTTGGAAATAGTAAATAATGATTATATGGCATTGTGAATACAATTCATGGTACTAGATTAACTATATACTTAAAAGTGAACAGATGACAAATTTCCTTAGCATTCTATACCCCCATACAACATGATTTTTTAAAACTTGCTTTTAGTTTTGGAAGACTCCCATGCATCATATACCATTCCAAGGTAGGAGAAATGGGGAAAGTTAGATATGCATATATGCATTTACCTTGAAGCAAAGCAAAGTATACATTCACATCAATTCTTTGAAATTCTTTGACAATCTAAAAGTAGAAAAGAATTCAATTATATTTAATTACTTGTTCAGGAGAAATGTCAATATTTCCTTGGTTAATCAAGACTTTCAAAAAATCACACATTTTTTACTGGAAAAACCATAGAGATTTTTAGCCTGCCATGATGCTGTCTGTAAGGCTGAAAAGAGAGTATCTTCAGACATGGCAAGCCAGGTAAAGTAGCTTAGCATTCAGGGGCTGAGGCAAGAGGATTGTGAGATCAAGGCCAGCCAGGGCTATTTAGTAAATTTAAGATTATCAGGGAATACATAGCAAGACCCTGTCTCTGTTTTAAATGTACCAGTGTCAGTATCTTGATTGAAATTTTGTGTTATAGTTTTACACTGTGTTTCTAGTGGGAGAAAGTGAGAAAGGGACAAGGGGATACATACAATTTCTCTAAAGAAAGAAAACATCCATTGTGGCACAGCACTTTATTGCACAGAAGTGCTCAATAAATATTTGTATGAAAGAAGAGAGTATGTAGACTTTCAAATAGCCCTTGCCAATTATAGAAGAAAACATAGTTCATCTGAACAAAAGGGTTGTGGATATGGATATGACCAATATATTCAGAAAGTACAAACTGACCTAAATATCAAGGTCTCTATTTTAAATGTACCAATGTCAGTATCCTGATTGTAATTTTGTGCTATAGTTTCACACCATGTTTCTATTGGGAGAAATTGGGAAAGGGATAAAGGGATACATAAGATTTTTCTAATATTTAAAAGTAAGTGTGAACAGTGTTCACTGTTAAGTTTAATTTTTAAGTCAATACAGTAGGTCTATGAACCATACATAGTAATTGCCATTATGATATTACAACTATTTAAGCATGGGAATACTCTGACAATAAATTACATTAGGACTCTACAAAGTCATTAAATACATTGGCCAATAAACAATCTACAATGGGTCTGAGTCAACACACGTAGCAAAATGAACAAAGAACCAGCGTGTGTTCTCAAATGAGCTAACGAGACTGCTAAGAAAATAGAATCTTGTAGCATATTCTCACACTCTTGCCAAGTACAGTTACTAGCCTACATTACCTACCTAGCACCCACACCCTGGCATCTTTTTCTGCCCTTGCAGTGGTAGCCCTCAGCTAAGCTAAACCTCAGGAGTCTGTTTCATATCATTATGTCTGATTGTTGGTGCCTTACCCTGCTGACCTTTTCTGTCTGACCCCCTTGATACCCCTCTGAAGTTTCATCTAAACTTGACATTTTGGGTAACACCCTATTTAAAGTACTTTGAAGCACCTAATACAGTGTTACTTGTAAAGTTATTTAATGTTTGCCCTCCCCTCTAGATGACTTGGTCTCATGAGTGTGGAAACTGTGGCTGCCTCGTCACTGGTCCCTTGCTCTAAGTGGAATGATTAGTGCACATTTAGCCTCTGAATGATTAACATGAGATCGTGTAACTACTTTCTAATTCTATGGATGCTTCTATACTGCTTGTGGCTCAGATCTTGCCCTGACTTCCTGGACACCTGACCTGCTGCCTGCCCTAGTTTCTTAACAATACCTGAGTTATCTAGTCCTTTCATTTACCTGGTGTTTCATATCCTGCTGCTGTTTCTATAAGTAGAATACAATGCTTAACACAAACTATATAGTTTTCCTGTTCCATTTATATTCTCAGTAGAATTAAGCATACTAAGTGTTAATATGTCTAAGGATGTCTGTGTGCCACACACTCTTCTATATTCCTTATATTCATTAGCTTATTAGATCTTCATAATACCTGTGAAGTAACTACCATCATTATGCCTATACTACAAATGAAGAAACAGAGACACAAGCAGCTTAAGCAATTTGTTCATGGTGGTAGAGGCAGGATTTGCCTCAGGTAGCCTGGCTCCAGAGCTTGTGCTCTATTGAAAAAAAACAACCACAGGGCTGGAGAGGTTGCTCCGTGGTTAGAGCACTGGCTGCTCTTGCAGAAGACCCAGGTCCAATTCCTAGCACCCACATGGTGCCTAGATAGCAACCATCTGTAACTCCAGTTCCAGGGGAACCTGACACTTTCTTCTGTCTTTTGTGGGCAATGCACAACACAGGTTCACTTAAGTACATGCAGGCAATACATTTATACACACACACACACACACACACACACACACATACACTACACACACACACACACACACACACACGAAAAATTACAAAACCTGTGAATTTTTCCTTTCACAAAGCTGAGTGACCCATACCATCACCAAAGCCCCAAATCTGTAGTTAAAAGAACCAAAGCCAGGGGCTGGAGAGATGGCTCAGTGGTTAAGAACATTGGTTGTTCTTTCAGAAGACCTGGGTTCGAATCCTAGAACCCACATGGCAGCTAACAACTGTCTATAACTCCAGTTCCAGGGAATCTGACAGCCTTTCCTGTCCCCCACGGGCATTGCATGACACGGGTGCACTTAACCTACAAAGCAGGCAATGCACGCATACACATAAAATAAGATAAAATAAAAAAAAGAACCAAAGCCTTACCATTCTCAGTGACCTCACTCCAACGACGTCCAGGAAAGATACAGCTCCACAATCAAGCACCAGACTGTGGATTGGCACTTTAGGGACATTTACTTTGACTGGGAGTTCCGAGTTCCAGTCCACTTGAATCTCAATTTCCTTGGTTGGAATATCTAGTTCTTCTGGATCTTCAAGATCCTCATCAGGCTCAAAAGCATTATTTGACGAGCCAACATCACTTACGATGCCATTCTAACAAAGAAAATACCACCAACTTAATTTCCAGTGATTTGAAATGTCTTTCAACAATTCATCTCAAACTTCTAAAGTCCTTCACAGAGCATTCTTCAGAAAACAGAAACATCAAGGCAATGAACACTTAAGGAATGACTTTTACCCCCATCCAAACTTTGATGTTCTCTAGGAAGAAAATGGAAGAACAAGGAGCCAAGAAACTTGATTTCTGGGAGATTGTGAAACTTTGCCAGGAGAGAATACTGGCAGGAAAATCTGAGTGAAAGCTAATCGTTATAAAAGTTTATGAACTTTTGCGATTTTCTGGCATTGAATTTGTACTTACTTTGTTCTTTTTGGTAAAAATAATGCTTAATCCCAGCACTTGGGAGGCAGAGGCAGGCGGATCTTTGTGAGTTCAAGGCCAGCCTGGTCTACATAGTAAATTCCAGGACAGCTGGGGCTACAGGGAGACCCTGTCTCAAAAAGACCAAAAAAAAAATGCTTAAAAATGAATATAGATGCTGTTCGTGGGGGGGGGGAGCACCATGTAATCATCAACAACCCTATGTTTCCAGGGAGCTCTGCAGGTCTCATTGAACCCTATCCTTTTCCCACAGCCTACAGAACAGTTTAGCAGGTCTCTGACATGTATTGTTAACTGCTCATACACATCTGGGTACCAAAGGGAATAGGCTGAATTTTAGACCGTCTGGCTGCTTTCATCAGAGAAATGAAAGACCCTGGGGGGAAGAAAGATGTTGCCTCACCTTTGTTGCCCTTAATTGTCCTTTTTTGATGAGTTTCTGTATTCTCCTCAGTGCTTTTAGCCTCTTATTATATACTCTAATGGCATCAAATCCAACCTTTGGAAATAAATATCAAGTTACTTAAACCGTTTGGTTCCCAGTATTTACTTGCAATTATTATCTGAATGGTTACTTCTAAAAGATACTAGAGACCTCCTGTCAGAAAAGAAATTGCGAGGTTTTGGGGAGTAGACCCTCTTCTCTGCCAGGCATCTGCTCCACTAGACACTAGGGAAAAAGACAAAATATCAAAATAATAACAACCTTTTTAGTTCTAAAGTGTTTTCCAAATTTCCTGGATGTCATAGAGCCCCTTTGTCTGGGCAAAATCCATTAGTATTCCTCTGAGTTTAGTTAGTTAGTTTGCGGTGGAAACAGGAAGACACCTATCCAGGAGCAAATTCCAAGTTCATAGCATAGCATAGTAGCAGGCCTACCTGGGTGTTGCTTTGTTGCTTTTTACTCTTTACTCCGGCAGGATGACCCTTCCCCACTGCACTGTTCCCACCCTCTCTCAGCTCACATACTTCCTAAACCCCTGGCAGACTGCCCTCTTCTCACCAGATTTCTGCAACTAAACTGGATCTTTTATTTTTTTATTTTGGTCTTTTTTGAAACAGGATCTCCCTGAAGGCCCAGCTGTCCTGGAACTCTCTATGTAGACCAGGCTGGCCTCGAACTCACAGAGATCCGCCTGCCTCTGCCTCCCAAGTGCTGGGATTAAAGGTGTGTGCCACCACGCCCAGCTCTTTTTATTTAAATTTTTTTTATTGATACATGTGTGGATGTGTACACGTGTGCACCGGTGCCCAAGGAGACCAGAAGGAACACCAGATCTCTTGGACCTGGAGTTGCAGGTGTTTATGAGCTCCTTTCCTTTGATAGAGCAGTAATCACTCTTAATTGCTGAGCCATCTCGCCACCCCTTCTAATTTTAATGCTTAAATTTTTAATGCTTAAAGTAATAAATCCAATGTGTATCATAAAAATATGTATTTTTATGAATGAAACTATTTTTCCAAATAAAATCCTTTAAGCTGAGGCATTGTTGTGCATAGTTGTATCCAATGTCTGGTTCTGAAAGGCAGCTAGCTTTTCCTTATCTGCCAGCACACTTCACATAGCCTCTAGAAAACCCTGCAGTTCCAACCTTCTACCTTTTGTGGGGGGAGCCACCAAGCTGGAGGCGACTCCACCTCCCGCTTCCCTTAACGCCAGCCACCTGTGCACCAACCCCAAATTCCTCTGTCTCTGTCAATCGAATTTAAATTTTATATGAATTCATCTCTAGCATTTTCCCAGCAGCTGTTGCTTCCTAGGTTTTAACATATAGGATAAAACCCCAATAAAGTGAGAATCTGTTTTTTATCCTCTCCCCAAATTGTAGGTTATTTGGGAATACAGATGTCATGATATACTTGTCTTATATTTATTTTGTTTTTGTGAGACAACCCTGAATGGCCTGAAACTTATATAAACAAGGCTGGCCTCAAACTTACAGCAACTTTCCTGCTGCTCTTTCAACTGCTGGTCTTAATAGGTTTGCATCGCTATACCCCACCACAATATAATTTTTAATAGCCCACACAAAGGAAACCGCACATAAGACTTTATTCCTAGTTGGCACCCCATAAATGAATGAAATCTGAAAATAAGTTAAAAAAACATAAAATACTTACTGTGGACTTAACACATTTTTTAAAACCATCAACATTGCCATAAAAAATGGGACTAGAAAATCTCAGAATCTTCACTCCTTCGGGCTCTTCAAGCTGCCATTTTAAAAAAGATTGAGGTTAAGCAAATCCACACCTCACATATGCACCTGAATTTCTACCTGGTCTGCAAGGACTAGAACCACAGTTACCCAGAGAGCTGGGCAGCAGCACTCCAGGCTCTTCCCAGTTATGGGGAATTATGGGGCAAGAAATCAGGCTTCCAGAATTCCACAGGCCAAATTAAAGGCTGCTGTTATCCATATAAAGAAACTGGTTCAAATACACGATTGGTCTTTAGGTCACACCAATGACTTTCTTGATTTTGCTAAAATTTTCTTGAGTAAGGGGGAAAAAAAGGGCACAATCGAGGGAGTCAAGTGTGGAGGAGGATGGAAGATAGTTCAGAAATTTTCTCTGGTGGTTTTTTGCTTGTTTGTACCCTGACACACAGTGACCATTCCAAAAGTGGATCCTACAGAATCATAGATGCTTATGGTCTTAAGGATCACAGCCCCATCATAGGAGAGTACCTGGGCCTGGAGAGGTTGAGTGACTTGGGCAAAGTCACCAAGACACACTATAATCCAGAGCTTCCAAACTCAGGCTAGGGTTCTCTGCCTAGGAGCCAACAGACTGAACAATGCCATTGTTTTATGTAGGTGTGTATCTCGTCTACAGTCTGGTTTACAAATGGCAACTGGATTCTCACATCTGCTCCTACAGGAAAGCTGTGGCCTCAGCATGTTCCATGTAGCCTGATTTTTTTCTCTCTGCATGGCATTTGGCTGAACATAACAGAAAAATTGTGAAATAAATGAAGTAGCAGCTACTGGAATTCCAGGTTCAGTGTACAATAATCTTTTTATTAATAATATTTTTAATATTACCTTTAAAATCAGACTGTAGCTTCCTAGGATTCACATTAAAAATATATGTAGTTCATTGTATTATGTAATATATATTCACTTTTTTAAAGCTAAATTTGTGCTTTCTTAACTTAGTTCCTCTGCTCTTTCATTTTTGTTTCCCTAGTGGTTACTAGTCACTAAGCAGTTTTACTTGCAAGTGGTATCTGACTATCAGTGTATGGTCAATTTCTTTGTTTCTCATTTCCTGTATCATATATTATTTCTTCCAATTCCAATAATAAAGAATTACATTAAAGCCTTGGTGACAGAATTGGAAAAACATCTTGTTAAAACTGAGTGAAGAGGAGCTGGAGAGATGGATCAGCAGTTAAGAGCACTGACTGCTCTTGCAAAAGACTCAGGTTCAAATCCCAGCACCCACATGGCAGTTAACAACTGACCAAAACGACAGTTCCAGGGGATCTAGCACCCTCTTCTGTTCTCCATGGGCATTGCACTACACAGGTGCACTTACCTACACGCAGACAGTACACTCATACACATAATAAATAAAAAATTTTTTAAACTGAGTGAAGGGGCTGGAGAGATGGCTCAGCAGTTAAGAGCACTGACTGCTCTTGCAGAGGGCCTGGGTTTGATTCCCAGCACCCACAAACCATCCTTTACTCCAGTTCCAGGGGACTCCTACGCCCTCTTCTGACCTCCACAGCACTGCACAACATGGGTGCACTCACATACATGCAGGCAATACACTCATACACATAAAAAAATAATAAATATTTAAAAAACTGAAGAAAATTTGCAGACTTTAGGTAATTTCATAAAAGTTAAGAATGACACAGGGAAATATAATTTTAATTAAGCATCTGGAGTAATCTAATGTCTATTGTATCTAAATCCTTCATAATGATTTTTATATTAAAATGGCATTCAACTGGCATGGACAAAATTTATCTAATCAATTTATGGGAAAAAGCACGTAGAACCAAAAGTTCTTAAGACATTTCCAGTAGGCTGATGGCCCTTCCCAACAGATGTTTTCCTGGCTTGTACCTAACAGACTAGCGAGTTCCAGGGCTCCTTGAATTCCAGACTAATCAACCACTCCAGCAAGTGTCTTAAAACAGCACTTACGTTTTTGTAATGTGTGATACCTCTGTAGATATCAGTGTTGGGGATACGTCCAAGGCCATTTGATGAAGGACTAAAAGAAGGAAAATGAACATCAGGATTTTTTTTTTGGTCTTTTCGAGATGGGGTCTCCCTGTAGCCCCAGCTGTCCTGGATTCACTATGGAGACCAGGCTGGCCTCAAACTCACAGAGATCCGCCTGCCCCTGCCTCCTGAGTGCTGGGATTAAAGGCGTGCACCACCGCACCTGGCCAGGATTTTTTTTTCACAATAGTTTTTTGTTTTGTTTTGTTTTGTTTTTGACTAAAAAGTTAAGAAATAACAGCTATGAAAGAGACCATCATTCTGGTGTTTTGCACTGTCTTTATTGTAGATGACATTTTCCTGTATCTGACTCTGAAATGAACAGCTGGTGTTTGTGGGGAAGTGGAGAAGGAGGAACTGTGACTCTCTTCTGATGGCTGAGAGAGAAAACGAGCACTTTCATGTGCCTAACAATTTATAGAAGCACAGAGCGTTCTTGCATGTTAAATCTTTTTGAAGCCCGGCCATAACTGAGCAGCCAGCAGTATTATCCTGGTTTTTATTTTTGAGTAAAATGAGGTTCAGAGAAATTAGAGAAGGTGGGGAGGTAAAGGACATCACAGCCATGTCTTTAACCTATGGGTCTTTGGGGCCTGCCTCTTATTTGTTACTTATGGCAGCTTCCTGAAGTATGGGGAGTCTGCAAGTATCAGATTAGTTTCTTTTTTCAAAACAGCAGCCTCAGAGAACCAGAAATAAGGCCTGCTTGTCAAGCAGACTGCTGATTTCCTGTTCCTGATGCAATTAGATAAATTCCACGTTTCTTCAGCTGTGACTGGTGGTATGTGCTATGTTTAGCTCCTGAAGAAAGACTATCTGTTTAGGGTCCTTTCAGCATTGTGCTCTCTGGATCAGTATTATAATTACTGGAAATGAAATACTGTGGAGGATACTGCTTTTTGTTGGCTAAAAACCCGGTTACCAAACCAGAGGCTAAAAGGTACTACCAATTTTCCCTTGCCTTGTAATGTGCTGATTTTTAACTTAAAGCACATGTTAGTCTTTCTCTCCAAAAATCTTCCCTTTCAACCAGACTTACATACAAAAAAATAGACACTGAGGTAAATTCAGCATGGGAGGCAGAGTCTTCTAAGGACAGTGAGTTACTTCTATAAGCAAACTGGGCACTCAAAAGCTAATGTACTTTTTCTAGACCCTGGGCTACTGGGGTGCTGAGGCAAACTGCCACAGGCCTTTTGGATAGGTACTGTTCACGCTGTGGTAGGTAGGAAGAGCAAGGAGAGCTGGTTTAGTGGGATAGGAGAGGTGAGCCCATGCTAAGCTAAGGTTTATATGTTGGTTGCTTTCCAGGTTTCTCCTTCCTTCACTAGCCAAGCCCAGACACAGAAGAGGCCAGAAGTCTAGAAAGAACTGAGGAGGTGGAGAGGAATGTGTTTCTACTAGGCTCTACGAAGATACATACCTAAAGCCTCTCAGGAGTCAACACCACCACCAACAAATAACTTGCCTTTGGCTTGACTTATCTGTGCTCATGGGCTGTTGCCCATTGTATGACTCATGACTCTGCTGCTTTCCGTAAGCATACAAACTAATCATACTCACTTCGCATAATTGAGTAGGGGCCTAATTTCTCATACTTGAATGAATCCTGGTTGAAATCAATTGTTGTAAAGTTTTCAGTTGTATAACTGATTGCTAGCTTCAAAAAAATAAAATGAGCTAGAATGTATTTGAGTTGTTTTGTCCTGTCCCTGGTGCCCAGTCCATCTTCTACCTCATCTGACTTAAACAAGAAGCTGCAAAGTAAGTTCAGTCTTTGGCTGAACCACATGTCTTGAAGTTTTACCATGACCAAAGGAGAGCACGCAGTGGAACATGTGACTTAAGTGGGTAGATTTGGGAGTGAGCTGCATCTGCAAATCTAGCTCTGCCGGTTAGTAACTGAAAGCTTTAGGAAAGATCCTTAACCTTTCTGAGTGTAAACTTTCTCAAACTTGTAGAATAAGACTAATCAAACCTATTCATAAGATTATTTTGAAGAGTAAATATAACACTTGTAAAATATGTCTATAGTTCATAGAGTCTTTCAATATATATATATAAAATATATAATTATAATCATGTCCACAAGAAATCTGGATTTTTTTTTTTAGTACTTACAACTGAACTCTCAGGACCACAGTCAATAATCCAAATAAAAGACCAGCTAGCAAACCCAGGTCCAGTCCCAGAATGATGGACATTATACATGTAAACACCCAGATAACCTGGGGGGGGGATGGAAATGAAAAGAATTCTATTAATTCATCAGATATCAATCAAGTTATACCTACCTATAAAAATAAGATCAATTATCCACCAATAAATTATGGTGTTTTAAAATATTTTTATTTTATGCATATTAGTGTATTGTCTGAATGTGTGCAAATGAAGTCGTGTCATACAGTGCCTGCAGAGGTCAGCAGAGAACATCAAATCCCCTAGAACTGGAGTTACAAATGATTGCTAGCCATCATGTGGGTGCTGGGAACTGAACCCAGGTCCTATGCAACAGCAGCCAGTGCTCTTAACCACTGAGCCATCTCTCCAACCCCTAAATTATGGCTTTTTAAAAATAATATGACTTCATTTTAGACTTCAGTAAAACCTGGAATTGGCCTTTCAGTTAAGAGCAATTTTACCATTTTATTTATTTCTAAATTTTTGAATAGGTAGTATATTCACATAGTTCAATAGGGTATTAATATTTAAAAGGCATTCAATGGCAAATCTTGCTTACAATCCTCTCTCCTCTCCACCCAATCCCAACCTTCCTCTCTTCTTGTATTCTTTTATTTTTGTGTGTGATTGTGTGTGCATACATGCAAAGCACACATGCTTTCTCTAACACCTCTATTCTATTCTCTTTTTCTCTTAGGAATTTTTCTTGGAGATCTTTACATATCAATACATAGGTTTTTTTTTTTCATTCTGTTTGTGTCCTGGCCTAAATTGCAGTAGAACTATGAAAGGTTTAGCTTTTGAGTCATATATTCCTCAGAATAGTTGTGAAGTCACATTATCAGAATTTGTGTGTGTGTGTGTGTGTGTGTGCTTTTCAACTACATTTTTTAAAACAGTATGTTTGACTTTTAAAAGTCAATGGGCTAGAGAGATGGCTCAGCAGTTAAGAACACTGGTTGTTCTTGCAGAAGACCTGGGTTCAAATCCCAGCACCCACATGGCAGCTAACAACTGCCTGTAACTCCATTCCCAGGGGATCTGACAGCCTCTTCTGTCTTCTATGGGCATTGAATGACATGGGTGCACTTACCTACATGCAGGCAATACACGCATACACATAAAATAAAAATAATAAATAAAATTTTAAAAAGTCAATGGAAGTTGGGTGTGGTGGCACACACCTTTGATCCCAGCATTCAGGAAGAAGAGGCAGGTGGATCTCTGCAAGATCAAGTCCAGCCTGGTCTATATAGTAAGTTCCAGGCCAGCTGGGGCTACAGAGAGACCCTGTCTCAAAGAAACAAGGTCAATAGTGTCTACACCACATTCTTGCTGGAAATAAATCTTCCTAGGGACCCAGGGTTCTCACATAGAAGACATAAAAGTCTTTGGTTTACCCATAGTGCTCTAATTTCTGCTCTGGAGCCCCCAGAGTTCAGGCCAAACTTAAGAAATGGAGGGGGGAGGTGATGTGACAGGAAGCATATGCAAACCAAATCTTATTTCAGAGAAAAATGTGTGGTGAGTGACTTACGGCATCAGTCTTATTCTGCTTCCACAAACGAGGAACATCACACACCTGCATGAACATCCCTTTCAGGTTGGCAATGACAACAGCTGCCAGAACCGACTACAAAGATACAGGGGAGGCTGTTACTCAAGGCAATGATGACACCGAGTCTGATATTTATCTGCTATGTGGCAAAGAGAAATTATGAAACTGGTACACAATGAGGGGAGGGGGTTTACCTTCTGCAAAGGTTCCAGAAGCTTCCCCAGGGCAACAATAGCAATCATCACAATCCCAGCCGAGATGATGCCAGCAACCTGAAAGATACACTTTCTATGAAGGCCCTAATCCTCCTGCTCCCAGAAGCACTTGGCACTTCCCCACTCAACCTTTATGCTCAGTAGTTAAAGAAATGAGCACTATCTACTAAAACTATGCAACATGAACAAGAATGGGAAAACCAGAAATATATATATACACTGCTGATGAGAAAGTAAACAGAGAAACTGCCTGCTAAAGCAAAGCTAGTTTTGAGTGTGTGACACCATTGGTGTTAGTTTAGGAGCCAGTCTTGTTTGCCAAGGTCATAGACCACCTCCTTCCCCCAAATAAATGATTGTCATAACCTTGGGAGATGAGTTCCTGTGGCTTGTATCACTTTCGTCTGCATCATTGAGGCAGCAGCCATAATGGTTACTCTAATAACATGTGCTTGTATCTTACAGTTTCCATGAAAGACCCAGAGAAAATAAACTAGGAAATCCTGTTACCGATTTACAGTGCCACACTGGTGTACCAAGATGTAGATCCGCCTCCTCTCCTTCCCCCAGCAGCTGTAGACACAGGTTCTGAACACTGTCTGCAGTGATGGAGCAATACCAGGGTAAAGGAAGCTCAGAAACTTTACCTTCACTGCCTAAAAATGCTCTGCTAAGATCCATAAATATTAGGAGAGAGGCTGAGGAGGTAGGGACTGTTCTCTGGTTTGATCAGTTGACCAATGAAATTCTCTGTTGACACAGCTTGGGGCAAGGCTAAGGTGAAGACTAGAAGCTCTGAAACAAAGGAGAAAAGAAGAAGGGAACGAGAAGCAAAGCAGTCAGAGAGGAAGGAACAGGCAGATGGTGTTGAGCACAAGCATTGCCTCATGCAAGATGTCCAGGCAGAGGAAGCAGACATGGCAAAGGTAAGAGGACATTTTGAAAACTTAACCAGAAAACACTCACTCCATCTGGCAAATTGGTCATTTATGTTTAGATATGGGTCAACCTGAGAAAGCATTATGAATATAATATACTAAAAAACTCATGGACCTAGCATGGCAGCACATGCCTTTAATCCCAGCACTGGGGAGGCAGAGGCAGGTGGATCTCTATGAGTTCCAGGCCAGCCTGGTCTACCTAGCAAGTTCAGGCTAGTCAGGGCTACATACATGAGACCCTCTCTCAATTGACAAGTAGACAAACAAACAACCTTGTCCATTTAGCTTCCTTTTTTATGATCTGGCACTACATACCCAGGTTCTCAGTATGTGGCACTTAGCACTTAGACCCTCCTGTCTAAGAAGCTAAGATCCTTCTTCTCTCCTTCCCCTTTCCCTTCTTCCTTCCCATTGCTTAACCAATTCATTTGCTGATCCACTTGCATCTTCCTATAGATAAGAGACTGAATTGGTGAAAGGTATGGATGGCTATGTGGAGACAGGGACCACAACTGGCTGCCCAGCTCAGGACAGGAGATTGACCATCCACCTGCCAAGAATATATGATAGAACATCTCTGATTATGGGACTCGAAGCTAGTTTTGGTTACTTTATTAAAAATCTGTGAGGAATCAATTAGTTGTATTTACTGTATAAAGCAGTTTTGTGGGAAATTGTAGACTTTATGTCCTTGAGAAGATTCAATTCCTAGCAAATTAGTTATTGTTAAATGAAAGGGTAATCGGAGCTACAGAGTACTTTGGATTAAGTCTTTTGTATGAGCCAGCAGAAGTCAGAATAGGGATGAGAGAAAGAACAGGCAGTGCTGTTTAGCTCTTCTATCATCCATAGATGTGTGCTAAACAGTTAATGTCCACCAACATTCTGTTTGTTCTTCAGCAAATGTATATTTGTTGCTTCTTATGTACCAGGCCCAACACATTTGTCACAGATGCCAAGAGCATATTCCTACCTCATGGGGTATAGTAATCAGCATTTAGCAGCCAGTGTGTACAAGGACTTTACATTTTCTTCTTTAATCCTTACAACATCACTATTAGGTAGATAGAGTTATTATTTGCATTTCATACAAATAATGCTGAAGTTGAGGCATTAACTATGAGATATAAACTATGAGAAACTAGACAAAAAGACCTTGTAGCTTGTTTGGTCACAGGTCCCTGGATTTCATGCCAAGGTCTTAGACTTTTAACCACAGAACTTAGTGTGTGTTTCAGTAATTAAATATCAAGCCATTTCTGTACTTGTTGCCTTCTTCCATGCTGAACTGCTGGCATCCTTCATTCCTAATCATAATACATGCCAGTGTGTGACAAAGGATATTAACTTACCCCAACATCATTATCCCAGAACCCTTTGCCAAAGAGGTCACTTTACATGGACTTTATTACTGGGGCAGCTAGCCTGTGCCTTGTTTGAGCCTGGAGATAGCAGCAGGAGAGTGGACATCAGCAGCTCAGAGTCCACCTGCACCGCCTCAGGACTGTGTGCCCTGGGGAGCTATTCAGTGCTCATCTCCAACACAAGCAGCAGGAGCCCCAGCTGCTGACAGCTTTGGCATGAAATGGGCGCAGCTTTGAGAACAAGCTCTGACCACTTCTACTTGGCAACAGATCTCTGTGCTTCCTGGTATGTACTAGATTCTTTGACCTGTTCCCTCAGAACTAGCCATAATTTCAAAATAATTTTTAAAGAAAAACTTTGAAACAAATTTTAATTTGAATTCTTAAAAGGAGCCAAGAAATTGGAATAGGCCATTTTAATAAGAGAGGAGCATCACGCCCACTGTGAGGACACATCCATCCTGTGGCAACATCACATGTATTGTGAGAACATTTACAGTTCTCCCTGGACAAGCCATTGGTGAGTCATTGTTTACCCTGTTATTCTCTTTCATCCTGTGTCTTTTCCTTAATAAAACCCTTGAAGGTTATATGTGTTTTGTACTAGTTTGGGTTTATTCTTCTTTATGGTCTCAGTGCCTTTTTGTCCCAAATAATGCTCTTTTCTGTGTCAGGAAGCTAAAACTCTCTGAGGCTTAACAGAAACTCAATTCCCATCTTTGTTCCTAGCCTCAGGCCTCCAGTTTGGTCTGTACAGAGCTGTGTGTGCCTGGAATGGAACTTGCAGAGCGGCTCCTGAGCTTTCTGCCCAGCTGAGGAATTATCCAAAGATTTAACTGGGGTGCTGGTTCTGCCATCACCTTGTGAAAAGCAGCAACCAAAAACCATATTTAAAAGGCAAAATTAAGGCCACATTTGGAACTTGAAGAACAAAAATCTTACTCAGGAAGAAATGCCAAAATGTTATAGCAAAAATTCTTCCTGGCTATCAAAATATGGTTCTGTGGGACCAAAGCCTCTGGAGGAAGTTCCTGATATTTGAAAAGGGAATATGAATAAAAAATATAATAATAAAGCTGCAAAGTGCCTCCTCCCCACTTGTGGTCTTGGAGATTGAACCCAGGGCCTGATACATGCTGGGCAAACACTCAACCACTGAACTATATCCTCAGCCCTATTTTCCCAGCTAGCCTCAAACTTATTCTGCAGGCCTTGAACATGGGATCCTTCCTACTTCAGCCTCCCAAGCATCTTGGATTTGGGGCCTCTGCCACCAGGCCAGGCTCTAGAAAATGCTTTTACCATGCCCTTGCTCACTCCAAATAACAAACTACAAAAATCAGCCTTCTTCATTACTTATGACTTATCATCTGTGCTTGTCCTGGAAAAGCAAGTGAGTGTAGTTATCTGCCAGGTAAACACTGACACAGGAATTTGGAAATCAGTGTTTCAGGAAACCACAAATGTTGCCTTTTAAGAGGATTTTTGTAAGGGTTGAGTACATCAAAGAGATAAGGAGGCCCAAGTTGGATCAGATGAGGAAACACAAGTCCCTCTTCTCAACAACTCTTAGTCCTGCTTAGTTCTTGTGCAAGCCACTCTGGGCCACCATTCCCTGCCTGTCCCCACTGTCAGTGTTACCCTACTCTCACTTCATACCTGTGTCTTTCCCCCAGTGCTCTCCTGGACAGCGGTTCGAGACAGTGCAGTGGTTGCCACAAAACAAGAGAAGAATCCTGAGAAGACATTGCTGATCCCAAAGGCAATGAATTCCTAAGGGAGAGATTGGATGACAGTGATGCTGCAAATAGACCCTCATCAAGTGTCCATTGGGATGGCTCTGTGGGCAAAGGCGCTTGCCACACAAGCCTGATGACCTCAGTTCAATTCCCAGAACCCATGTAAAGGTAGAAGGAGAGAATCAACTCTACAGTCATCCTCTGACATCCCCTTAAGAACTCTTAGTCCGACTAAAGAGCTAACTTTGAATGTTGGTTTTGACCTGACTGAATTAGCTCTTTTAAAATTAGTGTTATGTCAGCTTTTTTCTTAAAAGGCAAGATGATGCAGTATGTGTATTTCAAAACAGTTTCTAATTAGCAAGCACAAGAGGGAAATAACCCAATAAAGACCAATGGAAGAAAGCAATACTTTCTTTAGGTGATACCAAAATCTTTCCCAGTTATGTTTTCTTCTCGTTTTCAGTCTTATAAATTCAGTTCAGGAAAAGGGTCATCATACCTGGTTCCCATCGATGATGTAATCATGCTTGATGGCATAGACTTTTCCTACAGATACTGCAATAGCATAAGCCACCACAGCAATGGAAAACGATGCAGCCAGCATGTCTGAAAACAGGCTCACAGTTGGAAGTGCAGGAGGCAAGAACCTAGTAAGCAAAACATGTGGTTATTTGACAACCACTCTTTTTATCAGTCCCACCAAAAGGTGTATCCATTCAGTCACACATTAGACATGAAAGGATATGATCCGACAAAACAAAAAGCACATAAGATGCATCGTAAGAGCATCTGCTTTTCTGTTTTAACCAGAAGTTATTGCTATCTCACTGGCTGATTTCAGTGTCCCTGACTTGAGAGTTTTTTCTATACCTCCCACATGAATACACCTTTTGTTACTGATTCTTTAACACCCTACATCTCCATCTCTGCCACATCACACGTAATATTTCACCTCGCATGATTTCTCTTTAAAGGTCTTTGACTTTAAGAGAGAGTCTAGCCATGTTACAAAATTCAGTTGTATGAAGAGATGTCAATTCTATTAAAAACACAAAGAATATATGCTAATAAAAGAATGCAGCTGAAAATTCTTAAGAGCTGTGACACTTAAAAATCTTCTTGATTTTAAGGAAAAAAAAACCATTAAATTTATGTATTATCACCATACTCCGTAGCCACTAAACTATCCCAATGATTGTGTTTTCAAAAGACTATTATCTGATGAAACCTGAGCTTTGCTAGAAACTTAAACAATTAACCATATAAACCTATGAGACTGTACCCAAAAATCAAAATTTGGAGGAAGGGCCTCATTTACCTATAGCTTGATGACTGTTCATACAGTGTGATCCCAGAGTCCCCGGCATCAAAAAGACAAAACAAAAAACTCTGCTACCTTTGTCGTTTATGTCTGAATAAAGGTAAAATAGAAGTTTTTAAAGAGAAAAACCATAGGGAAATTTCGAGTATCTTAGGACATTGCTGAATTTATCTCTCTCATTTTAGTAAGATGAGAGCTTTGACTCAGAAAAGTGAAATGATTTGCTTGAGGTCTTTTAGTAGGTCCACGTCAGATATTAGATGATTGGGTAACAAGATCTGCTGGGTGTTCTGCTAAGGCTTTCTCTCCTCTACAGGGGTAATTTTCAGACTCTTTTCTCCCATGCCCCATCCTACTCCGTATGTAGGCTCCAGAACGGATGCCACCTGAAGGCAGTCAGGATGTTGGAAACCTTGACCCACACTTGAGTGACTCAGTATCACATCACCTGCTAACCTAGATCTGACCTCGTATCTTCCTTAAAATCAGGCTTCTAAGACTTAATCAAGGCTACTTCAGATAACTATAGTTTGATCAAAGCCAAATCCTGAAAAGATTTTGGTTGATAGTAGCCCAATGCTCACTGCCTGCCTGGTTCCCAAGCTCTCCAAGTATTACCTGATCCTTGATTATTCGTGGTTAAAAAGTGTAAAGTGTGAAATCAAAGGAGGACCTCAGTCACTGAGCAACTTTGTGACTTTTGGCATGGTACTAAGCCTATTGAATCTGTTTCATCAGCTGTCAAATGATGACTATGCACTCTTCTTATGAAATCACTGAGGAGGGAATTTACTCCTCTTCACTAGTGGTGTTCAGCCTACATTGGGAGAACCGAAATCCACCATATCCATATATGTATATGACTTTTTGTGTTGTCTTGCTGAACTTCAGTGGCATCAATTATTTGTCCCAAGTCAGCTGAAGCCCTGCCTGGACATCTTCTAATGACCTGAGCAAGCCTATCTTCCAGTATCTGAAATAACTCTTTCCAAATTGCATGATTACCAGTAGGTCTATTCTACTCTAGCCCACCCAGTCTGATGCAGTCATGAAATAATATGACCAAGAGTTTGATGGGGAGGGAGCATATGAGCACACAGTTATCTGAAAACATGGGGATGAGGAATGGTAGGTCCTGTAGGGCCAAATCACCCATAAAGTGGTGTCATGTGTGTTAAATCTGCTAACTGGATCTTTCACTTCAGTTGGACGAGAACATTTGGCAAATGTTCCACCAGACCTACTAAGGAGAGAAACAGTCCTCAGGGTGCAGCCAGATAAAAACGCTCTGATGTTTGTTGCACCTCCCATTTCACATGCTGTTCTTTCCTGGGCCCCACTTCAAAGGACATCCACTGAAAACAATGATAATAAACATGGTAGCACAAGTGCCTCTGGTACTGGCAAAGAGGGGACCAGTTGCTGAGATGAAGCTGGATAGAGTAGTATGGGGAGCAAAATTCATAGCATGAAGCAGTTCATCTTGTTCATACACACACACACACACACACACACACACACACACACACACAAAGTGACAGGTGAGGTAAAAGAGATGCAGGTTGTAATGAGTGAGAAGCTGGGCTTTATGGGAACCAGCTGCATGAGAGAGGCAGGTTGTGACCAGCCTTCTAGTGACAGCTGGTGAAGAAAAAAGGCCTTCGTCGGAGAGGGAAGGCTCCAAGTTTGAATTGAATCCCTGTGGGACACTCAGATGGTGACAGGACAGAGAGGCTGTGTGGTTTTTACCAGGTAGGGAGCAGAGAGAAGGACAGAGTCACAGTTTGGGCTGTGCAGTGGGAAGTTGCTTATTCTGGGGGCTGCATGGTTCCAGCATGTCATTCTAGCAGGATAATGAGAGCTTCCAGGGGCAATGCCTGGAGGAATGAAGCAGGAAGTTCTTTTTCCTTCTCTGGCGCTGCCCTCAGCCACTAGAACATTCTCCTCCCGTCCCTGGTTTCTCAACTTTCCTTGCCACCCTTTCCTTTGCAGGTATGTTAATATCATTAGAATGGTTTCTGGGCCACCAAGTAATATTAGATAACAAAGACCTTTCTTGTGGCTTATTTATAATGACACGGGAAGGGAATTTATCCCTTCAGTAGGTTATTTTCAGAGATCCCACTGTCAGGTTGATGCTATGCTAGGAAGACAGAGCTGAACAACACAAATGGAGTCACTATGATGAAGGGTCCTTGAGGCTAAGTTAGCTGTTAGAGTCATCAGCTTGACCAAGGGCAGGAGCCTAAAGATTCCACATAGGCAAGTGGCCAGGAAAGCTCTGCAGAGACCTAGGAAAGACAATGTAAGCCAGTAAAAACAAGTCCCCAAAGCATGGCTTTACAGGGCAGGCATGTGCTGCAGACCCCCTATGACTTGTGCACATAGGAAGCCTGACAAAAGAGATTTGCATTTATGCATTTTATATCGTTTATAATTACTCAAATAATCCAGACAGGGTAGAAATTCTGTAACTCAAGTAGCCACATTGCATCTTTTATCATTACATTTCTTAAAAATGTTGATCTTCTAGTGCACAATTTCTCAAACTTACCTAATCAGAAGAATCGTTTGGGACACTTTAGAAAAATAATTTCCAGACACAGTAGATTTGAAATGGGAGCCAGGAATTTGTGTTAACCCAGGTCTCATGTGATTCTTACAAAAAGGTATATTGTAACACTGTAATGGGTAATATGTAACATAAGTCTCCTATACCCAGTTGTTTGAAAAATATTTTTAAAACTGATACTGACAAGCTGGGTGTGGTGGTGCGCACCTTTAATCCCAGGCAGAGTCAGGCGGATCTCTGTGAGTTCAAAGCCAGCCTGGTCTACAAAGTGAGTTCCAGGCCAGCTGGGGCTACAGAGAGACCCTATCTCAAAAGGACAAAAAAAAACCCACTGATATTGGCAAATAAATATAAGATATTTAATTAATATCACAAATGGGGAGATAACATCCTGTGGAACAAGCACTCAGAATAAGTATGCTTATGGAGTTTCTATTAAGAGCATACAAAAACAAGGACGAGTGTAAGGCCCCTCCACTAGATTTAATGGAAGGGAAACTACTGCTTCCTGATTGACCCCCAAATCAGTGATAAATACTACAGTTGACGTTATGAATGTGATAAACATCTGGTCTTCCTCTTGACTGCTTGTGACAAAACTATAGTGTAAACCACTTTGTCCACTCTTCATTTCATGAGACTCTCAGTGGCATTTCACACGCTTAAGTTGAAGTTTCAGCTATGTCTTAGAGAAGAATTTTCCCAGACCACACAAGTAGACAGTAACAGGGATAGATGAAGGACCTTGGTCTTTTATTCTTCTAATTTGCAAAAATGAAATAGATACAAAAATACTGCAACTTATTTATAGGTATGAGAGGTATCATTTTTAATCTATGATTGATTAAACCTAGTGGTAGAGAATTTAAGCCAGACATCCTAGATTCCTTAAGCAGATTGTTGATAATTCAATTAATACTACCAGTTGTGAATATGTTTATATTATATTGTAATTACACACATGAGTTTAAATCAAGAGTCTGGTATTAAATGTATATGTCTTGCCACATGTTAAGAAAATAGAGCATATAAGTGCTTCTTTTTAAACAAATGACCAGAACTTTATACAGAGAGAGAGAGAGAAAGAGAGAGAGAGAGAGAGAGAGAGAGAGAGAGAGAGAGAGAGAGAACTATTGATGGGGCACCAGTGAAGTGAAACTGGTAATAAAAAGCTTTATTTAAATAGAAAGTACTGGCTTAATTTATTAGTATTATCTAAGAAGAACAGCATACTGACCCACTTGGGATGGATTTAACAATGCCAGCACTGTAATTCTTTTCCAAGTTGGCTCCATATGAAATGGCAGTGGCAATTATTGTCTGAAATAAAATAAAAGAAGATGTGAAAAAACTGCACTGGTTTTAATAATTCCTTGCTTGTCAACCTAATTAATCCTGAATTTTTAACTATATATTCTACTTACCACAATTACTTCTATAGGTATTGGGACTGGGATTTTGTGTTTAAATCGATCATTTAATTCCTTAACAGCCATACAGATGATGATGGTAAGTAACCCAGCAATGAAATCTGCAATATTGGTATCACCAATGTTTTGAAAAATCTCAATCAGAGTCTGTAAAGAGAAAATAGGAGGTTTTGTTTTGTTTTACTTTAAAAAATTATTTCCAGGGATTTTTGATGGAATTTTTGTGAGTTTCATATAATATATTTTTATCATATTTAGACCCCACTCCTATTTGTACCCCTCTTATAGCCCCCTTGCTATATTTTTTTGTACTCTGTCACATATATTAAGATTTCTCAGGTCAAGTTTGTGTCCCCAAATGTCCTTCAGTGTGTGTCCATTCACGGAAGCCTGGTTAACCTAAATAGCATCACACCCTTAAAGAAAACTGACTCTTCTCTCCCAGAAGCTATCAGTTGCCAATAGTTCCTGAGTGAAGGTTGGAGCTTCTTCCCCATTTCCCCACTTCTATGCTGGGATTTTTGTCTGACTTGAGCTTGTGTGGGCCTTGAGCATTCTGTTGCCATTGCTGTGAGTTCATGTAAGTAACTTCCCAGCTGTCTGGAAAACTCTGTTTCCTTGTGGTCATCCACCACCTCTGGCTCTTACAGTCTTTCTTCCCCATCTCCCTCAATGGTCCCTGAGCCTTGAATGCAGAGTTTGAAACAGGTGTTTCATATGCCTTCTACTGTATAGACACATACATACTAAGAGCATGTCTCCCACACATAATCATATCACATCAAACAGCACATGAATGTCTTATATAATCAGTGGTTAAGAGCACTGACTGCTCTTGCAGAGGACCTGGGTTCGATTCCCAGCACTCACATGGCGGCTGTGAACCATCCTTAACTCCCGTTCCAGGGGAATCTGATGCCCTCTTCTGACCTCCGTGGCATTGCAGAACACAGGTGCACTCACATACATGCAGGCAATACTCTCATACACATAAAATAAAAATAATAAAATATTTTTAAAATTGTATAGATGGGGTTATTGAGATTGTTCAATGGATAAAAGTACTTACCACTAAGCCTGATGACCTGAGTTCCATAGGGTGAGAGGAGAAAACTGAATCCTGAAAGTTGTTCCATGACCTCCACAACTGTGCTGTGGCATGTGCATACACACACACACACACACACACACACACACACACACTCAACTCAATTAACGTAAAAATAGATAAAATTATGATGAAAAAATCCTAAAAATATATTGGCTAATAGAAGGACCATTAAGTACATGCAGTTTCTAAAATACACACACAGAAAATGTAAAGTTACTAATGGCAGTTAACTTGGAGAGGTAAAACTATGGGTGATTTTTATATTCTTTATGTTTTCTGCTCTGTATTTTAAAAAATGAAATGAAGGCTTTTTCAAGAAAAAATATCATATGCTATCTTTTGCTTACATAAAACGTTTAAAGTTTATCTAATGTAGTTGTATAGGAGCTATTCAGTGACCTTTCACCACATAGATAGGAATATTACTGAAACCAAAGACTGACAGACCAGAAAGTTGCAACTATTTTCCTTTGGTCTCAACCAGCATCTCAAGTAATATTCCTCTCTAAACCTGAATGATACAGGTAATAACAACAAGAATAAAAACTTCCTGAATGTTTCATATGAAAATACAAATAGCACCAACTGATTGATTCTTTATGGCAAATTAAAACCACTGAATGGATACAGTGACCAAGTATTTATAGTTTAGAAATTAATTTGGTGCTAAAAGTAATTCCTTCCAGTGGGCAGGGAAACCATTTCAAGGAAAAACTCATTTTGTTTTGTAAATAGGAGATCTCTGGGAAACAAGTGTGTTCTTCAAGGAAATTAGAAAGGGAAGCCCTGGGGCAGAATGGGACATCTTAATAGTTTGAAGCATGTATCTTGGTATATTTTTACAGATAAGCAAAATACTTTAAATAGTTATAATGATAATATGTTAACAGTTTTATAATGAACATCATGTCATTTTTCCAGTAACCTCGCCTGTTTGGAACACATTCAGGAGTAAGAGAATAGAGGGGGTCTTTTGCAAACAAAATACATTCCAGCAAATGTTCGGGCTAAAATTCAGGTATTTAACTTGAAGGAAGCCTTTCACTCAGAGAGCATTTTTGCTCTAACTTTAAACCCAATATTAACAGGTTAATTCTGTCTGCTTTCCAGAGTCTCTGAAAATTGTTAGCAGCAGATACATTGAGCAACAAGATAAAGCAGGTGGCACAGGGAGAAAGAGAAAGTGGGAAAACTACCACAAGCAGACAGGATGATGAAACTTAGAGTACCTCACACTGGAGCCAGCAGCCCTGTCACCTACCCCAGAGGCTTGAAGATTGTCATTGTGCTTTGGCTCTTTACATAATCAGTTTTCTATTGAGGACTCTATTTCATGAGCTAGGTGTAATATTTTGATCAACTGTCTATATAGTAAAGGTTTAGTTTCCAACTCAAAATGGGAAACTGCATTTGCAAATCATTTGCCTGGCTTTTGATGGTACACACCTATAATCATGATACTCAGGTGATGGAGGCAGAAGAATCTTTTTTGGGAGGAGGGTGAGACAGGGTTTCCCTGTAACCCCAGCTGGCCTGAAATTCACTGTGTAGGCCAGGCTGGTCTCAGTCTTACAGAGATCCACCTGCCTCTGCCTCTGAAGTGCTGAGATTAAAGGTGTGCGCCACCTTGCCTGACTGAAGGAGAAGAATCTTCAGTTCAAAGCCAGCCTGGGCTGCAATAGAGTGTTCAAGGACAGCCTGTCTCAAAACACACACACCATGTGAACTAATTATCCTGATCCACAAAAACACTTTACCTTACCCCCCTAAAAATATCACTATGGGGGCCTGAGAAGATGGCTCAGACAGGAAGGTGCCTACCACTCAAGCACAAGGACCTGAGTTCTGATCCCTAGTCCCCACATAAAAAGTTGGGCACAGCAATGTGTATCTGTAACTCAAGCACTTGGGAAGTGGAGACAGGTGGATCCTCAGAGTTCATTGGCCAGCCAAAAGTGTTGAGCTCCAGGTTCAGTAAAGAATCATGTTTAAAAAAAAAATACAGTGGAGATCAATCAATGAAGATACCTCACACCAACTTCTGGCCTCTACACATGTGTAAACACATGTGCACACCTGTATGCACACATGTACATGCATGAACATGTACATGTCCACCCACATACATATACACACAAATTTTTTTAATGTTTTTTAAATCACCACAAGATTCCCATTTAATCTTTGAAAGTCACTTAAACCTTTGACTATTAAGAATCTCTGCTATATTTTAAGTGCAAGATGAGCTACAAAAAAGCAAAATGAGGGCTGGAGAGATGACTGAGCAGTTAGGAACAGTGGGTTCTCTTGCAGAGGACCCAGGTTCAATTCCCAGCATCCACATGACAGCTAACAACCATCTGTAACTACAGTTCCAGGGGAATCTGATGCCCTCTTCTGATTTCCGTGGGCACTGCACAACTTGGGTGCATTTATACACATGCAGGCAATACACTCATACACACAAAAACTAAAAATAATAAAATATTTCTAAAAAGCAAAATCAATCTATATTGCACAGTTGCATTGAGCAAAGCATATGAGTTACATGGATTAATTACCTTAATAGTTAATAGTGAGTAATAGTTTGGAGTTTGGGGTTTCTTTTTTTTTCCTTCTTCTTTTTTTTCTTTTTGGTCTTTTTGAGACAGGGTCTCCCTGTAGCCCCAGCTGTCCTGGAACTCACTATATAGACCAGGCTGGGCTTGAACTCACAGAGATCCACCTGCCTCTGCCTCTGCCTCCCAAGTGCTGGGACTACAGGTGTGTGCCACCACACCCAGCTGGGGTTTCTTATAGAAGGTTTTACACTAAAAAGTTTAATCTGTGTAGAAATAAGCCTCGGCATATAAGTGGAAGTGATCAGTTTATACTCAAGGATATAGAAATAAGATTCCAAGCATGCACCAAACAGTAGTTCTAATTTAGTTTTCTATTGAGTGCTAAAATATAGATAAATATAATTCTGTATTTTTGCCTAGTATTCCAAATATAGGTCAAATCATGAGAGTGAAGTTTTCAGTTATTGATATTTCACTACATTTCCTACTATGGTTGAAGAACTTTAAGACCTCTTCATTTAAATAATAACTCTTGTCCAGTATTACCTGGGTGTATGAAGCCACAAAGAAAAAATATGCCCAATATTGTATATGAGAACATTTACTGGTAACTTTTGGAGTTGACTTTGTTCTAGCTCATCTTATCTCCACAACTACAACAAATGCTTCACAATCACCTCCTGGCATCTGGCGTTCCCTGCTACACATACTTTCTGTGTATATAAATTGCCCTTCTCAGTGTTCCTCTTTGTCATAATGGTGTACATTTTACATGTTGAAATAAGTTCAAGCTAATAACTCTGATTATAAGCTATACTCTCAAAACTCACCTTTGCAGTGGACACTTCCTAAAGGAAAACACCTGAGATGATCTCCTGGCCCCCTCCACAGGCACACACATACACATGCATGTGTACCTGTACATATACGCAATGCTACACAGACACACAGACACAGACACAGACAGACAGACACACACACACACACACAATTCTTAAAGCTCACTTTTGGACATACTTTTCAGGGCAGTCTTACTTGTAGGAAGAAGAAGTGGGTCAGGTTGCATCAGTTTAGTAGGCAAGCCAAGAGGGTGTCCCTTTTCTATTGAAACAACCCATTCCAAGAGAATGGTAACAAAACAGAAGATATTTAAGAGATCTGAATGCTTGAGTAGCTATGCATAGCATCCAGAATAGTAATAACTGAATTGCTGCCAACACCCTGCCATGATCCCTTCTGGCCTATTAATCAAGTGTATTTGGCATCTATGAATGAATGTTTTCTGTTGTTTCTAACCATCCTTTCCCCAATTCTTTGTATCCATTACTTCCGATTGTTAGTATATCTTTGGAGGGGCACAACCTTACAACAAAAATGATGCTGCATGTTATAAAAATGTGACATATTAACTCTAACATTCCAAGAGAGGCATTTTACAATTCTACAGTATTTCCTGGAAGAATCCACTGCTGTTCTGCATTTATTGAAGGACTCCTTCGTATGTGGTTGCCACAGTAACACCATAAGCAAACTCTCTGTGCAGGGACCACAAGGCACTTACAATTCTAATAATAATTTCCAGATCTACCTATTCTTTCTTTTCAGAATAAAAATCTTATATTAACTATCAAGGGGGATAATTTAAATGCCTCCATTCAACTTGGCTGACTTGTGAGGAATTGCTTGCAAAATTCTATGACAATAGGTTCATCAATTAAGCAAATAACGCCCCTCTAGGACAGTACAGAATACTGATAAGCCACAGAGATCGGGCTGGGGAAAGTGGGTATATGAGAATACTGTACTTTCTGCTCAAATGTTCTGTGAGCCTAAATCTTCTATTTAAAGGTCCATTAACAAAATACATGGCACATACTAAATTGAGTCTTTAAGAATAATATTCAGGCTGGAGAGATGACTCAGTGGTTAAGAGTGCATACTGTTCTTCCAGAGGACCTTAGTTTCAGTCCCAGCACCCATGTCAGCCAGCTCATAACTGCCTATAATTACAGCTCCTGGGGAACTGACACCCTCTTCTGGCCTCCATGGGCACTTGTACATGTGACATGCAGATACATATACACATTAATAAAATAATAAAAGTAATTTTTAAAAAGAATAATATTCAGCCAGGCGTGATGGTGCACACCTTTAATCCCAGCACTCAGGAGGCAGAGGCAGATGGATCTCTGTGAGTTCAAGGCCAGCCTGGTCTACAGAGTGAGTTCCAGGACAGCTGCAGCATGAACTAGTCACATAATGATTATTTTTGGCTTAAAGACTATTTTTTTACCTTGTTCTGATGTTTCACTTTGTCCCTGGAAAATTGGGGTAATTTGCAGCACATTTCTTCATAAATACAGTCCCAGGAGGCCAGAAAAACTATTTCCCCTGTTCTGCAGAGGTGCTAGACCAGGGTTCCAAACCAAGTGTTGGCCTCAGCTTCCTGTGAGCTAGGTGGATACAGGCCTGGAAATCCTTGCACAAGGAAGCAAGCTCTCTCGCTCTCTTTTTAAAATTTTCTTTATTATTTTTATTTTATGTGTATGCGTGTAGTGCCTGCATGTATGTAAGTGCCACTTGTGTTGTGCAGTACCCATGGAGGACAGAAGAGGCTGTCAGATCCCCTTGGACTGGAGTTATGGACAGTTGTTAACTGCCATGTAGGTGCTGGGATTCGAACCTGGGTCTTCTGCAAGAACAACCAGTGTTCTTAACTGCTGAGCCATCTCTCCAGCCCCGGAAGTGAGCTCTCTTAATAAGGGATGTCTTGGTGAGCTCCAGAATCAATGGGTTTGTGTGTGGACTGAATAGGCCCTGTTATTCTTGGCAGTTCTTCAGTGTTTACAGAATAAGTGAAATGAACAAAGGAAAAAGAAGGAATACATGAAAGTTGATACAGTGGAAAAACAGGCATGTCAAAGACTGCAAAAGTGACAGTGCCTATCAGAAAAGGAAATCTGATGGTACCAAGAAAACCCAGTGAGGGCTGGGCAGATGACTCAGTGGGTACAGGCACTGGCCATGCAAGCCAGGTGACCTGAGTTTGATGCCCAGAACCCACGTAAAAAGCCAGATGTAGTAGCATGCATCCATAACCCCCGAACTCATAGCAAGGGGGCATGAGAGGTGAATTGCCCAGAAGTTCATGAGCTAGCTAGCCTGGAGTATGCAACTCAGCTGCAGAAACAACAAAAGAGATACTACCACAGCAGGGTGGAGGTGACAGCCAAGTTCTGAAAGTTGTCCTCTGACTTCCACATGCATCCCACATCAAGCACGCACACAAAACAAATTTAATGAAAAGGTTTTTTAAAAGAACTTGTGATTTGGGCAAAGGAAAAAAGTAAAAATGACCAAAATCATGCTGAATTAAAAAAAAAAAACAGCTGTGTTAGGCTTCAGGGGTGAATCTACTGCAATTATTCTGCTAATAGGCATACTAGCAAACTGCCCTCTAAGTCTGTATTTATATATTCAAAGATCCATGCAGCTCTCAGACCTCATCAGGAAAGTCTCTTTGGGTAGTGAACAGTGCTTATCTCTGAAGATCACAACTGGTCACAGTGCAGAGAATAAGTGTTGGTCACAAATGGGACATTTATAATCATCCTACCCCCAAGACTCAGGGACCATCACAGAAAGGAGGTGGAAAGCTTGTAAGAGCCAGAATTCAAGGAGGACTGGAGCAAAACAGTGTCTTCTGGACAGGACAGAACTGTGAATTCACATCTGTGGCTTGCCTGCCAAGATCAAACTAGTCAACATTCTAGCCTGGAGGGAGCCAGAGGGGTTCCCCCATCCCTAACTGAGGAGCTATTAACAGTTGATGGTTTTTCTGGGAGGGAGAGTCAGTTTTTTAAGGGTGTGGTCCCTGGTAGCTTAGCCACACTCCAGTGGACAGTCCCATACCCTTGAGTATATGGGCAGTGCAAGTTGGACTTGGTGGGCCATATTAAAAAAAAAAGTCAGATATGGTGGCACATACCTTTAATTCCAATACTTGGGGCCCTGAGGCAGGCAGATCTCTGTGAGATTGAGGCCAGCCTGGCCTACATAGTGAGTTCCAAGCCAGAAAAAGAAAACAAAGTTGGGAGGGGTGGATAGATTTGGGAGGAGTTAGAGGGAGGAGTTGGGATGAATGTAATCAAAATGCATTGTATGAAATTCTCAAAGAGTTAATAAAAATATTAAGAAAGCAGGAAAGAAAGAAAAAACAGCCAGTGTTAATGTCTTCTAATATGCCGGGTCTCTGGAAAGCAGACAGTGAGCTCTGTGAAGTCTGTTCATCCATGCTAATGACTAATAGTCATAATAAACAAAACACTACTATATGTATGATATTGTGCTTGGTGCTTTTTTGTTTTTTGAGACAGGGCCTCACTATGGAGCGTCAATTTTGGAGCCTCAAATTTGAGATCTTTGGCTTCCCCAGTGCTGGGTTACCCATGTATGCCACCATGCCTGATATAAATTTTCTTTTCTAATCATCACAGCTCTAAGAAGTGGCCACTTTTATTACCCCCATTTTAAAACGTAGGACCCAGGGTCTTAGGGAAGTACATTTTAACATGTTCAAGGTCACAAAAAGTAGAAAGTAGTAGACCCAAGACTGTAACTCTAGTCTCTTAAAGTTCAAATTTTATGATCTTAGTCACTGTGTTATCCTCCTCCATCTACTCCAACAGCTTAGCTTAGTTCCTAGTTCATAGTAAGCACTCAGAAATATTTACTGAATGGATAAAGTAATTGATGGGGTGATTATAGCACTGAAATCCTACATTATTATGAAACCAAATTTCTGACAGTCTCATTCTTTGATATGTATGTATGGTCTTACATTTTTTTCAGGAGCAATTTCTTTTTTTGAGACAATGTCTCATTAGCCCAGACTGGTTTCAGACTCATTGTGTAGCTGAGGATAACTTTGTACTTCTGATCCTCCTGCCTCTGCCTCCCAGGTGCTAGTATTACAGGCATGGGTCACCACACTCAGTGCTAAGAACTGAACCTAGGACTTCATGTGTGCTTAGCCAGCACTCTACCAACTGAGCTATATCCCTAGCCCCTGTTTTTTAAATGCATTTTTGCATGACATCATCCCCACAAGCCTGAGTGACATCATGTTACTATTATCACCATGTCCCAGGCATCAGTAACATACTTTATATAGAACACGTACTTAGATCCAAGAACTTCAAATCTAATTAGTGTGATCTATATCCTTCTTTTACATCTCTTTTGCATGTTGAATCATCTCTGAACTTAATGTTCCTTTTCATGTATAATTGCTGAGACATTTACATTATGCATTTTATGGATGCTCGTAATTAGAAAGGGCCTGAGAGACACATCTCCAATCATTTCACTTTAAAAAGAAGGAAAAAAAGAGAAAGGCTTGAAAAAATAAACTCATAATAATTTTTCTGGAACCATGCCAGCCCCTAGACTAAGTGTTTATTCTCTGACAACCCATTGAGGTAAATATTATTTTCAGCCTTATTCTGCAAAGAAGGAAACTGAGGCATGGTGATTTGTTCAGTAGTAGTGAGTAGTTAGGAAATTAGAGTCAGAAATTTAATCCAATCCTGCCCAGCTCCAAACGTGAATGTACAGCCACTACCTTACATAGTCTAAGGGTTACTTAGCTTATCAGATACAAAGCCTAGACAAGAATGGAAGTCTATTGAATCCCAGACCTGACTTTATTTCATTAGGCCCTTGCTTCCACTAATATTTTTGACTGCCAAAACATTTGGGAAAGCTTTTGAGCATTTGAGAACAATGATTTACAAAATGTGATTCCTGATGTGTTTGCTTCTTTCAGGGAAGAAATTTTCAAAGGCCCCCAAAGTATGACCTGGGGAACAGAGATTCTCCAGGCTCAAGTGGGAAAGAGAGATGATAGTGATGGTCTCTGGAGTGAGATGCAGCACTTACATAGATGATGGAAAGAATGCCGTTATAGTTTTTGGTTGAAACGTTGAGGACAATCTTCAGCTGCGAGACCAGCACTTGGAAGGCAGCAGCTGTTGTGAATCCACCAACCAGGGGGTCTGCCAAGTACCTCACTATGAATCCAATCTGCAAACCTCCAAATACCAGCTAGGGTAGGAAGAAATATGGAAAAGTTTAAACATTTGCCTGAGAGAAGGGGCAACTCCCTGGAAAGATTAATGATCGAAGCTTCATACCAGTGGAAACAGCCTGCCTGTGGGACAGAACCATTTCTGGAAACAAATGGCAAGTCTTTTTTTTTGAAGTTAATATTTAATCTTATTTAATTTTAATTAATTGAATTTTAAAGATTTTATTTTATTTTTAGTGTATATTTTTATTGAATTTTTGTGCATTTCATGCAGTATACCTTAATCATAATTAGGCCTCCTCCCCTATCTGCACCCTCTCATAGCCTGCCCACAGGATTTTATGCATTCTGTCATATATGTTAAGGCCTATTGAGTCGTTTCTGTACCCAGCAGTCCCTCAATGTGAGGTCATCCATTGGAACTTGTTCAGCCTATGTAGGGTCACTCCCTTAAAGATCAATTCCCCTTCACTCAGTAGTGACCAGCTGCCAATAGTTCCCTTTGCCAAGGTTGGGATCTCCTGCCTACAAATGGGAATTTCTTGATGGCCTGTTCTTTCCCCTATACTACTTTAAAATTCAAAATTCACGTGCACTGTAAAATTCAAAATCCATGTGCACTGTAAAATTCAACTACTTCAAGCTATGTACTAAGACAAGCAAAAACCATGTAGCTTATTTCTGTGACTCTCAAGCCTCCAGCCTTGGGTCCCTGAACACTGTTCTCCTTCATGGTCCCTGCACACTTCCCTTGCTCATGCTCAACTGAATCACTCATGTTCTACTTTCTTTCTTTCTTTTTTCTATGACTTTGATGATAAGGATTAAAAAAAAATTTTTTTAAGTTTTTAAGTGTGTGTGTGTGTGTGTGTGTGTGTGTGTGTGTGTGTGTGTGCGCTCATGAGTTCACTGGATGTGTGTGAATGCTGTGTGTACAGTAACCACAGATTCCAGAAGAGGGCCACAGATCGCCTGGAGCTGGAGTTGCAGGCAGTTGTGAGGCAAGAACAGTACATGCTCTTAACTGTGGAGCCATCTCTCCAGCCCCCAAAGATGATTAAGTGATTTTTATAAGTGAGGTCTTCCAGGCTATTCTAGCACCTGATCTAAAACAATGTTACTTAGAAAATAATTTTTCAGTTCTGGTAATTCATCTTACATTTAGATGAATTTTTGTTTCTATATTTTAAAGTTAATTATTTCAAATAAGAATCACACTCATCTGTATTTTACATGTAAGCCAGTTACCTGTATGATTCCAACTAAAAGTGTGAGGGTGCTTGCGATTAATACTCTGGCTGCATCTCTGGTTCCAGTGTCTATCGTGGTTGTGTTCAGTGTACTTCCATTACCACTGGGCACGAGAAAGTGGTCATCCGGAGCCATACTCAGAACAACGGATCCCACCATTAAACTGACCACTGGGAAAGGTCCTGGAGAAAAAGGCTCAGTCAACTAACCTGTTATGAATCACAAATATTTAGACTCAACATGTCTATGCATACTTAGAAAGATGTGTGAAATAATTAGCTGTAATTAGGAAAATTCTGTTCACAAAGGAAGCTGAAAAGCAGGTGTCTTAAGGCATTTGTGACCCAGGGAGTATGAAAGGGACATGTAGGTAGTTGACAGTAAAACAGTATTCAGTGTGCTTCATAAACACACAGGAAGAGTACCCAGCCTATCCTATGTGGGATCATCATGGGGGTGGGGAGATGGGACTGTGGTGGAAGTTTTCATGAAAAGGGTTCATGGCAGAGATAACATATAAGCTGAATCCTTACTTGTTCCATTTACTATTTATCCCATAAGATCTTGTCTTCTAGAGTGTCCAGTACTCTGATCCCTGGACACAAGTACAGGATCCAAACTGACAAAAGGAACATACAGTTTCTCTTTTCAAAACAAAAATTTTTTGTATGTCATGTGCCAGTCAGTAAGATCCTATGTTTTAAAAAAGTTCTGGTTTCTTCCATTTACTACTGACATCTTTACCCATGATGAATATGAATATGATGATGATGATGATGATGATGCTATCCTTTGATCATGAAAGGCTTTATGTCTGAGAGGCCTCACTATCCAACCCAATAACATAGAATAACTAAATGCAGAGAAAACTAGAGAAAAACCCATTTGTATGTTACTGATTGATTATCCAAGGTGAGGAAGTTCTTTCAATCCTCTCTGAAGAAAATTGACATTCTCCTGCCTCCCAGCAGCCATCAATTGCCAATAGTTCTTTAGGTAGGGTTGGGACTTTTTTTTTTTTTTTGGTCTTTTTGAGACAGGGGAACTCGCTATGTACACCAGGCTGGCCTTGAACTCACAAAGATCTGAGTGCCTCTGCCTCCCAATGCTAGTATTAAAGTGAGTGCCACCCCACCCGGCCTGGGGGTGGGACTTTGTAAGATGGCCTTATGCACATACTGACTCAGTGGGTTTAAAGAGTACATGAAGTTGGGAGGAAAAAGTGATGGCAGTGAGGAGGATATGGGAGGAGTTGAAAGGGAAGAAGTGGATTTGATCAAAACACATTACCCAGATGAAATTCTCAGCATGTTTTAAAAAGGAAAAATATAACTTCCTCCTGACTTCTTTCTGAGGACAAATCAATGGGCTTGATACTGGGAGAGACACAATTATGCACAGGGCATGGACATGGATGGCTTCATTCATCTCAACAGGGTCATTCAGATAGCATCTAATCAGCAAGGGGGTGTAGCAGCAAAATTATTTCTATTGCTGATAGCAAACTTACACAAAACTGAATTAAAACATGTGTTTGTTAGAATATTGCAGTAAAAAAAAAAACAAACTTAAATTTGAGAGTGAAAAGAAAACCCATTGTGAGCCATGCCAAGAAAGAAAGCCAAGCTTGTTTTCTAAATTTTTCTGGCAAGATTTTTCCAGTCTTCTAATATCAGAGACTTAAAATCAGTATGCTCTTTAATGAAATGATGAATATGTATTTGATCCCTGTAATTTAGTAAATACAAAGCTAATCTAGTGAAGTAAATGGATTTAAAGACCTTGTAAAGATATTTTTTGGTTTTTTTTCCCATCATGTGTCGGGAAAAAGCACTTTAAAATACAGAATCAAATTTACTATACTTTAAAAAATCAAACCATACTAAAATCTAAAAGTAGGTTTTAACTTTACCCCTTCATTAAAGCAAAGTTATGTATAAAGCTGAACAGTATCATTCAATGGGGAAAGTAGGCAGGGCACTGAAGTCTGATTCTAGTACCCATTGCAGAGGTGCATAACAGAGCAGAAACTCAACACACATGACTACATAGGCAGTAAAATACACTTGTAATTACCAACTGAGATGTGTCTTGATGTTCCAAAAACAAAGTATGTCAGGATAGGAAAAAAGGCAGAGTAGAGACCATATCCAACAGGAACTGCAGCTAGTAGAGCATACGCCATCCCTAAAGGTACAACCAACATGATTAAATTCACCAGCAACAGTCACAGCAATTTTTACTGCACAAATAAAAGCTTCTACATAGATATCCTTGAGTTATGGTTTCAGACATAGCAGACTTGAGGGGTTTTCTTATTTTACATACAGACTATGGCCGTGGTAAGATGTGGAATGTGACTTAGTCAGCTAGATAATGATTATTTCACACCCATCCCCTGTTCAAATTGACTGACTCCATTGATCAGTCACTGGGTGATGATATCAGTGGGAAAAACAATCGAGTCAGTTGTAGAACTTGGTCAAGCCAGTCCAAAAATTTGGACCAGTTCATATGGATAATTTGTTTGAGCCTGTGTTCCATGGAATACAAAGATTGTTGCACTTGACATTTCTCCTTTTTTGTTGAGGAAGAGAAGTTAGATACAAAGCAAAACAACTGTAAATGAAGGGGACCAGCTCCACCAGGAGCCTATACCAGGCAGCCTCTGGGCCCACAAATGTCAGGCTATGGATATGTCAACATTTCAGATGACATAGCAGTTGGAAAAGGATAATGACAGTCTTTTCCTTGGCTAAATAATTAGTAGTCAGCACATCTTAAACCATAATATCTCTCCACAATTCGTGCTTGAGGAGTGAAAATCAAGCCCTTTGACCCTTGAGTCACCCCCACCTCCAGTTATGCAATCCTTTCCCCAAGTTTAGGAAACTGGATTTTAAGCCACCATCAGCTATGGCCAATTGCCATGGCCTCTCAGTTACATTTATAATGACTTTTAAAACTTGGTTATAGGGGCTGGAGAGACAGCTCAGTGGTTAAGAGCACTGGCTACTCTTACAGAGGACCCAGGTTTGGTTCCCAGCACCCAGCTAACAACTGTCCTTAACTCCCATTCCAAGGGATCTGACACCTCCTCTGGTCTTGGTGGGCATTGCACAAATGGGTGCACTTACATACATGCAGGCAAAACACTTATAAAATTAAAATAAATCAAAACAAAAAAATTAAACTTACAACCCAAATGAGCACTCAAATTTATTTGCTGAATGAATATATCCAAATAAGGAAGTGTTTATCTAAATTATAGTTTATACATTGTAATTACATGTTGGCAGTGGTTTTGTGGGGAGCTGGTGTGTGAATTTCTATAGAATGCAATTGGTGTGATGCACAGAAATACATTTACTAACAAGAACTGATATGAGATAAAACTTTGGATCTGGGGGTTGAACTCATGATGTCAGACTTAGTGGCAGGGACCTGTACCCACTGAACCATCTTGCCAACCATGAAAAAAAGTTTTAAATGAGAAAAATAGAATAAAAAGAAAAATCTGCTTACTCCCACTTTTATAAAAGTAAGTATGTAGTAAGCACTAAAAGAAATCTAGAAAGATTTTCAATGTAATATAAACTAATCCATCCATACAAAAAGACTGTAAATGATATAGTAAATGCTGTGTATCTGAAATCCAGGCTAAGAAATGAGTTACTGCAGGCACAGTTAAAACTTTGTATCCTTTTCCTCAATCACAGGCTCTTTCCTCTTCCATCCTCAGAAAGCAACCAAAATTCTGAATTTGATATTTATTATTCTGGGATATTAGTGCCTATGTTGATATGCACTATGTGTCTTGTAATATATTCATTAAAGTATGAATGGCTTATCTATATGGTAGGATCAGAGGAGACATCCGGTTTGTAGAGGAGGATTTTTATTCCTTGTATATGTTTTCTACAATAAAAGCACTCATTCATTTATTCCACAACTTATACATGTAGCATGTGAATACTTTTAGTTTTTGTATTCGTACAATTGTGTTATAGAAAAATAGGTATTACTAATGCATTTCTTTGAAAATTTTGTATGTGTATGCATCTGTGGTTTATATGAATTAGGTATGCTCATGTGTGTAATGCCAAAAGGAAGGCCTTAAGTGTCCTGCTCTACCACTCTGTACCTTACTTCCTTGAGTCATGGCCTCTCACTGAACCTCTGCTGGCTACCAGCAAGTCCCAGCAGTCTCTGCTGCCTCACAGTGCTGGAGTTACAGTCATGTGGCCGCACCCCGATTTTTACATGGGTTCTAGAGATTTAAACCCAAGACATCATGCTTGGGCAGCAAGTGCTCTCATCTCCCTAGGCCCTTGATGTACTTCTTTTAATATTTAAGATACACAGGAATTGCAGTAAACAGTAGTCCCAGAAATAAGGACTAGGATAGAAAGGTGTGTCCACAAAGCAAAAGCAGAAGAAGCAGAGAGAGAGAATGAAGATGCTGTCTATTCCCTACGAACAGTTTTCAAGTCCTTCTCAAACTTAGAGTTCCCTGAACAAGCCATTTTTTCCTTCTCTGTCCCTCCTCCTGCACTTCTTAATACGCCTGGAAAATAGGAACTTTTTCAGTTTTCATACACAGTGTCTATTTTTATTCAAGCACACTGTAATCATCCTTTTTACAAAGGGATGTCGTATAAAATTAAAATTATGCAGTTTGTAAAGAAACTTAAAATACTGATTTAAATATGAATCTCTGTGTTGGTGTATAGACTGTCTAGGATGGCAGCATTTACTTACAAATTGAAACCAAAAGCACAACATGATGGGCCCTTACAACACTCTGAAGTTGTACAACTCCCTGGCCTCAAAAACTGTGAGAAATATTGCCAGCCTGTGGTGTTTGGTAGAGCCATTGAACCCCTGTTACAGGATAACTACATTTAAACTCTTTTTATATTGTATATTTATATGTTTTAAGAAGCTTCTATAAAAAGCCTACTAATGCCAGAAATGGACACCCTCTTTTGGAGTTGCTCACCAGGGGGTTCCCAAAGACCCTCAAACAATATTGAACACTGCCGTGGCTCTTGGTTACCTGCCAGAACTTGACAGTAAGACCCTATTGCTGAAGACACTACATATATGAGCATAGAACAAAAAAGAAGTCAAGCTGGTACTGACCTCAATGCTTCATCTCTACTGGATAGATTTCATAGTGCTAGAAGGTGCTATGCATGATACCAGAAGAGAAAAGTGATCATTATCCTTATCCAACTGTGAACCCTGAAGAGCTACAATAATGACTAGCTTCACAAAATAGTCCCACTAGTACAAAAGTGGCATGAATGTTATGGGAGTAATTAACCATTCTCTGATTGGATTTAAGGCCCATTTAGCAAGTTGGAATCTGTACCTGGCACTGTTATCAGGACCAAGAACCTGTGGTTAGACAGATCACAGCCTGTGATGGAGAACCTACTACTACTATTCTGCTAAATGAACATAGTATTAACCTGACTCCTAATGCCTTATTCTTATTCTTATCCCTATAGATTAGTGCATCTCCCAGTTCTCACCAGAGAAGCTTCTTCTTGCAGCAGATAGAGATTAACACAGAGACCCCACAACTGGTCAAGGTGCAGAGAATAAGAGACTACAGAGTGCTCACCCCTAAATGGGATACCTATATCACACCCTCTCCTCCTAAGGCTCAGGGATTATTTCAGAAGAGGGAGTGGAAAGATTATAAAAGCAGAAGTGGTAGATGAACACAAGGAAACCATGTTGTCTGTACACAATAGGCCAGCTGCACATATGGACCCATAGTACTTGTGACAGCATGCTCAAGACTGGTGCAAGGCCAAGCCATACAAAACCCCAGCATGGATGGGGGAGGTAGGCAAGAATCCCCAGCCCTAGCTGAGGATCCATTGGCAGCTGACAGCTGCTGGAAGAGAGAGAGTCAGTTTTCTTTAAGGATGTGGCACAGGGTAGGTTAACTAAACTCCAAGGGATGAACCCATACCCATGAGCATTTGGGGAACACAAATTAAATTCAATAGGCTTTTAAAAGAGAAAAATCGTATTAGAGGATGTGAAGTTGGGGGCATAGTGAAACGAGGTAAAGAATGGAGGACAGGGTCTGAATGTGACCAAAATACATTTTATGAATTTCTAAAAAATCAATAGAATGTTTTTAACTGTGAGAAATGATTTTTCAATTATGTGTTAAGTAAATCAGTAAGTGTCAAAGATAAAAAATAGACACAAAACTCCTCATAGCTGTGAGTAAAGATAGCAATGAAAGGGCTTGTAGGTCTTTCACTGCTTAGTAGGAGTTTACTTTTTAATATCAGGAATCAAAAGGCCCAACTAGACTGCACAACTAGATGAGGCATCTCCCGCCACTCCACAGACCCAGCAGCAGGTAGGTTGCAGAACTGGTTGTTACTGCAGCTACAAGGTAGCTCCTGAAGTCTCCCTTGAGCCTCCCTCTGTCCAGCTGTGGATTGGGAGCCCCCAGCCCACCCACTCTGAAGTCCTTAAGGAGGCACTTCTTTTTCCTTTGGCTCCTAGCCTAACTAACCCTCTCCCTCCAGACCGCTGGTGCTGCCTGTCCTCACTTCCATCCTGGGTCAGCACAATCCATGGGATTTCACCAATGCTCTTTGCCTTCTCTCCACCCGCTTTACTTCATCTAGCAAACCCCAACCTGGCTGAACCCAAACGGTCATGTTCGAGATAGCCTTCAAGAAGGTAGAAAGACCAGACTGAGGCATTGCACCTACACTAACAAGTGCCACACCAGATCTTTGATGCCAAGTCCTGGAAAGGCACTCAGCACTGCCTGGTGAGCCGATCCCACGTCCTCAGCAGGTGTGCCTTTCTTCTCCCTTTGACACCTGCCCTTCCTTTGAAAAAGAGGAAACCTCATCTTGGAGGAGTAACCTTCTATTCTGTGCCAGAACTCCACACATGTACCATTCTCATGATTTTCCTTCTAGCAGCTTCTCTTGTACTTCTCAGACCATAGATCTCTTTTCTTATGCTAGGTTGATCCTGTCAGCTCACTAATATGTTCTGGTAGCTCCTGCATCAAAAATAAATAAAAAATAAATAAACAAATAAATAAATCCCACCACCTCCATCCCATACCTCTCTCCAATTCACAGCAAAACCTCTTACAGGCATTCTGTGTGCCCTCACCACTGCCTACTGTCAACAGCCCTTCAGTCTTCTTAATTTTTTTTCTCCAACATTCTCTCTTGGTTTCTGATTCCTTATTCCTCTGATTACCCTTTTTTCTTCAGCTTCCTGAGCCAAAGTTCAAGTTCTTCATTGGCCTTTGCTCTTCCTGGCTAGCCCTCTCTTCTTCATCTTTCCTTTCTTCTTGGCAATTATAGGCATTCCTACTATTTTATTTTATTGTTATTTTGCAATTCTGGGGATCAAATGCAGAGTCTTGCACATGCCCAGCAAACACTTTTTAAAATATTTTATTTATTATTTTTATTTTAGGGAAAATGCATTACCTATGTGTATGTAAGTGTACCTATGTCATGCAATGCCCATGGAGGTCAGAAGATGGCATTGGATCCCCTGGAATTGGAGTTATGGACAGTTGTTAACTGCCATGTGGGTCCTGGGAACCAAACCCAGGTCCTCTGCACAAGTAGCCAGTGCTCTTAACCACTGAGCCATCTCTCCAGCCCCTCAGCAATCACTCTTGATGAGGGACATCCTTGGTACTTATCCTTATTATTTTTCTGACTCAGAGTCATGTTCTGTAGCCTAGGCTGACCATATTTCTCCTGCCTCTGCCTCTCAGATTGCAGGTATGTACCACCACACCCAGCTATCTCAAACTCTTTAAATACAAAGCTCTAAAGTTGTGCTTTCTTGGGTGTGTGTGTGTGTGTGTGTGTGTGTGTGTGTGTGTCTGTGTGTGTCTACTCCAGACCTCTCCTCTGACCTTAACAGTAGTAGTAGTTCCAATTTTCTATTTGGAACATCCAATTAGATATTTCACATGGATATCAAATTACCATGTCCAAAAGGAACTTCTCTTAATTCTGACATCCCAAACCTGCTCCACAGCCAGTGGTTGCCATTTTTAAAAAATGACAGTCATCTCCCCATTTGCATGATCCAACATCTTAAAGCCATCTGATTTTCATCTTCACTCACCAGTACATAATGATGATTCTTGCTTCAGAATATATTTTAGATGGTGCAGATCTATGCCCTGTCTGATCCAGCTTAAACTGATACACCTGTCCTCAGGGTGAGGCACCTAGGGGACATTATTTAAACAGCCCTCCCTGAAAGTGTCCCCCTTGCCTCACCCTACCCTTGACCTCACCTAAGCTTATCTCAGATCATGTCCTCAGCCACCCTCCCCCATACACACTACAACTTCAGAATTTTCCTATTCCTCCTGGAAAACACAAAGCCCATTTTGTTCTTAGGTCCTGGCATGCTTCTTTCTGCTTATCACAGGGATGGCTCCTGGTCATCCTCTCGGCTCTGACCAAATCTCTCTTCAGTTAAGCCTTCCTTAACAGTTACATCTAAAATAGACCTTCCTTCCAAATTAATTCCTATCATGCTATGTTCTCATCTGACCACGTGAGCTCCACGAAATCAGCACCTATACCCGTTAGTGGTTGCTGATTCCCCACTGCTGATTACCTCAGGTACAGAATTTACCCACAAATGTTTATTACATGCATGAATGATAAACAAGTATATGAATGAGCCAAATTAACTTTCCAGAAGGTCACCTAACAAAGATAACTTTATAGTAGTATTTCTGGACAGGGTAGAAGTTATGATTGTGGATCCTAGCCTGGATTCAGATCCCAGTACAACTACTCACTTGCTCCATGATCTTGGGCATGATTTAACAGATTTCTCATCTGTTTAAAAGTCTATAGTAATAGTACCTACTCTGCATGGTTTATGGGAGAGTTAAATAACATATGATACATATTAAGTAGAATTAATCTTTTTGGATTTGGGAGTTTTTTGTTTTTCTTTTGCTTTTGTTCTTTGCCAATATCAGGGGAAACCTAGGACCTCATGTATGCATGTGGGTCAAGCTCTCTGAAACTGAGCTCCATCCCCCAGCAGTAAAATTAATCTTTATAACACACCTGTCTATGAAAACAGAGAACACCTGAAGCTCGGGAAAATATTTTTTATGTGGAACAATGATTTATTATCAGGAATGCAATTCAGTCTTCTCTAAATACTGAGCCACCTACTTGGTGCTGATCTCTGTGCTAGGCCCCACTTAAGCAGCATGGGGTAGATGGGGCCCATTCCCCAGGAGCCCCCGAGTGCTGCCACTCCACAGCCTTTGAAGACATAGTATAGAACCCCCCCCCTCCTTAGAACACACATTTTTAACATTCTAGATCCTCTTCCTTCAGTGTGGGAGTGTACCTGCCTGCTCTGAGTACTCTGCAGTGCTCCACAGACAAATTTGAATGCGCAGTATCACTCCACATTTATTACTAACTTCTAAAATAGTCTATTTGCAAGTCATCTTTCTCCACACGTCAACACCCTACGCTATTTCCCATTACTTTGTAAACTCAGAAGTCACCTTCAGGGGAACTCAACACTGACAACTCAACTTCCAGGAAGCCATTCCAAATCCCAGAAGAGTGGGTAGAACGTACTTCATTAACACTATCCTAGCAGAGGACATTTTTTCCTGCCCTAGCTCTTAGCATACTGAACTATGAGCATCCATTTCCCCCATGGGACTGTGAGCTCCTTCAAAGCAGTAGTGCATCTTATTCTTAATAGCATCCCTAGTGCCTGCAGCATGAGCTGATCCATAGATTCTACCACATCAATGTGTTTTCTGTTTTCATGTGGAAGCTGAGAGGAATTAGCCAGGGATGAGGAATCTACAGAAACAAGATGATGAGGATGAGAGACAGAGCTGAATGCTCATTCTGCTCAGTACCAACTATGCAGAAGACTTCTAAGTCTAATGGAAATAAATTCAGTTTTCAAAACAAAAACAATAAAGCCACACCTATGTTGGGATATTTTCCAAGAAGTTTAAAACAAGAGAATGAATTAAAGCATTTGTAAATGGAAAAGCTCCTCATGTGTGGTCCAGGCTAAGAAACGTCCTTAGCTTTCCTTCAAACTGATTTCAAACTGTGGCACCAGTGGAATATAAAAGTAATCTAATGAGCTAAAAGAATCAGGTTTTTAAAACAAAGAGACTAGAACAGAATACAGAATATCAGAACTTATTACTTGTAGTGAAGAGTTATATTTATAAAACCTTAGCTCTGTGTGTACATGTCATGATGCAAGGCATATTTCTTCCTGTGAATAGTAGTCAGTAAATTTTGGGAAGCTACTGCCTGGTATATGCTTCTAATTTGGAGCCACACAGCCAGAGAAACATTTCCTAGGGGGGAAAATCTCCGTGGAAGAGGAGAAGAAAGGTGAATCTCTCCACTAAGGTGCCCTAGAGGAAAGATGAAGGCCTTGAAAGGTGAACAAGCAATTTGTCCACAGTGACAGGCGTGGGGGAGTCATGAATCGCTGCTGGACACTCCCAATCACTTGAGACTTATCCACCAACATCTTACCTTGCAGTGTACCCACTAGCCCAGTACTAACTCCAGAGATGATGTCACTGAGCAGCCATTCCTTGACCCGGTATTTGGGGAGCCAGTCCAGGATGGGCAGGAGAGTCTTCAGCAAGGCAAAGGCTCTTTTTCTTGAACAACTGCCAAAAAAGCAGGAAAATTGGATGTCTGGGTCAATTTGGGGTCATAACCAGTTGCAAATCATAAGTTATGAACCAAATTCTCCTGATTTTTCTAACTATGCAAAAAAAAAAAAAAACTATGAGTTTCGTGAAAAAATACTGATGCTGAAGTGTTTAGTGTGCTTTTTGCCAGGACTTGTCCCTATTCTTTTAAATGCACTGTTGTAGGAAACACATAATTAAGTGTCTCCTCCCCTTGTCAGACTTTTTAATCCTCTGAGAAAATATTCCTACACAAGAACTCATTTTCTGACCCAGCCAGAAAATAATCAATGTGGACTCTGTATGTGAGATTAATTTTCAGGCTCGTAACCTTGGCACTGTCTTTTTCAAAGAAAAATAAACACAGAGATATTTTGGCAACACAAGCTTAGGGCCACTTTTTAACAAAAATATTAACATGATAACTTATACCTTGTACCTTGCTACTTAAAAATTTTAAACTTACTAACCCACAGATAAAAGAAAAAACAGCAATAGATAAGACTCCCACTCTTTAAAAAGCATTTTTAAAAATTGTATTTATAGCCAGGAGTGGTGGCGTAGGCCTTTAGTCCCAGCACTCGGGAGGCAGAGGCAGGTGGATCTCTGTGAGTTCAAGGCCAGCCGGGTCTACATAGTGAGTTCAGGTCAGCTGGGACTACAGGGAGACCCTGTCTCAAAAAGACAAAAAAATTATATTTATGAAAAAATTGGAAATTGAGTGATCACTCAATTTTGATATTAAGGAACTATTTTAGGTGGATAATAGATATGGTTACTTATTTTTAAATCCTTAGAGATACACACTAAAAGATATGTAGTAGCCCTCCTTATCTGTGGCATGGTCCCTCATCTGTAAATTCAAGCAATTCTGATCAAAAATAATCAGGAAAAATGTACTGAGCATGTGACATTTTTTAAACCTTATTTTCTAAACTATACAGTATAACAGTGGCTAACATAGCAGTTGCATTGTATTAGATATTTTATGTAATCTGGAGATTACACAGGATAATGTGCATGGATTATGTGGAAATATCATGCCATCATATATAAGTGACTTGGGCTTCAGTTTTGCTATCTGTGGGAATCTTGAAACCAATCCTCCATGGATACCAAGGGACAATGGGAACAGACCAAAAAGGTCCACTACACCGATTTTGCTTAAAAGTGATAAATGATGCTGGAGAATCTGAGAGGGAGTTGGTGGGGGAGGGGTGGATGAGAGGCCTTGGGAGGGGAAAAGAGAGGGTTGGAAATGATGTAAATATAGTGTCCTGCATGAAATTCTAAGAAAAATTATTTAAAAAGAAAACAAAACTCAAAATACATTGTATGCATGTGTTCTCAAAGAATTAACAAGATAAAAATAATGCTGAAAGAAGCAAGTGGTTGGCAGTAGGTGAAATCAGATGAACTGAACTGATCATTATTGAAGCTGAGTGATAAGTTAAAATCTTGGGAGGTTGTTGTACTTATGTTTACTTTTGAATATCCTTTAAACACTAGGTAATAAAAGGTTTTTTTTGTTTTATTTTTTAAAGAAAAAAATCCGGCGACTAGTTGACTTTTCTCTATGCTCCTTATGCTTGTGGAGTCTCATTTTGGGGGCACATTGGATTTTAGGGACGTGGCGGTTCTCACGTCCAGGGGTCCCACTGCCTCCAGAAGCTCTTGGAGCTTCTGTGTCCCAGCTTTCATCCCAGGTCTCTGACTGAAGGCTATCATGCCATTGGTGGAAAGTTTTAAGGCCAGGTTTGTCCATGTCTTTCAAAGAGCCCCTTTCCTACCGCTTACTGGCCTTCTCAAGAAGGAAGCGGAGGGCCACTGGACCCTAAGGAGCACTCCGGATTTCTTTAAAAGGGAAAAAGAAAGGGGGGTGGGGCGGTGTTCCAGGAGGATACTCTCGCCTCAAAGGGGAGTTTCTGTGAAGTTGCAGAGATTCTGGCCCCAGACTTATGAGCCACCCTCTGCCCAGGACCAGCCTGGAGGGAAGCGCGGGCGCGGCTGGCTCTCAGTACAGGACGCTAGGCGCTCCCCTTTCCCCGGCCAGCCGCCCCTGCGCCCCAGCCTCCCACTCTACCTGCAGCTCCGGGCTAGGTTCTCCCGCAGGGTCCTGCGCTCCTGCAGGCGCCGCTCCTGCTGCTGCTGGAAGGCGAGCTCGCTGTAGACCGGCCGTGAGACCTCGTAGCTGTAGCGGCACTCCGGGAGCTGCGGCCTCTCTGACCTGCCGCCCGGCGCCGCCATGAGCTGCGAACCCCAGGACAGGGAGGAGGCACGACCTGGGAAGACAACCCAGGGCGCAGAGCGCCCAGCAGACCGCTAGCCCCAGGGAGCCGTCTCCCGCGCCACCTGTTGCCGCGGGCCGGCCCGCGAGCCCTCCACGTCCTGCGGTCCTCCGCGCTCCGCTACACTCAGCCCCACCGCGCGTACGGCCACCTGCAGCGGGGCAGCCGAGGACTCGGGGTCCGGTGGCCTGCAGGTGCCACCTGGGACTCCCCACTGTCACAGAAGTGAGCCTCCCTTCGTGGCCTTCGGGTGTTGGATCCGGTGGCCTCCGTGGGCAGTCAGGGCGCTGTCCGCGTCCTGAAATCGCCCCCAAACCGAACTGGGGCGGGGACCTGGGGCGCGGGCGACCAGGTAAGCGACTCGCACTTCTCCCTCTCGACCCGGGACGCAGATCCAAAGCACGCTCTAAAGATGCACAGCGCCGGGGAGTCTCCCGGTCCTTGTTCCCGACCTCCTTTTCTCTCACCTTTTCTGGTGTGCCCTGACCCTTCCCGTCGGCGCCGTTCCCCTGACCAGTCCCATCCCTAGGAAGTTAGGAAGGGCGAAGGGCGAGGTACAGCGGGCTGCATCTTCAGCATGAACTCACCTGTTTGGGCGCTTCGCCCGCCCAGAATACCCTGGGGACAGGCGTCTTGCTGCCTTTATAGCGCAAGCAGAAGGCAGTGAGACCTTTTATTTATGGAGCAACAGAGACACCTTGGTCAAAAGGAAGAACGTGATGACTACGATCTTTCCCTCAGATCCTACCAGGAAAGAAATCCTACCCCTCCCGTGTACTTTCCCTTCCCGAACTCGGAGGGCTGATTTAGTGGTTGTCTCACAGGGGCCACCCCACCCCGAGACTCACTCCCCAAACTACTACTACTGCGAGCTGCGAGGTCAGGAGCGGGTCAGCGTGTCTGGGACTGGTCTCTAGAGCAGCTCTGGCTCGCAGAAGGAGGTCAACAATGCTGGGAACGCTACCCTGCTTCATAGACTGTCAGAATCCAGAGCTGCACAGCCAGGTCCAGGTGCCCTTAAGGAGGCAATGAACATACCAATTGGATTTCAAGACAGTTGTTTAGTAGTTGTCTGTGGATGTGGGTACGGAGATTGTAGTTCACTTATAGATTTTAGGCACGAATTCTTTACACTTTTGTGCATTTGTCTAATTCACAATCGAAATCAGATGTCTGGGGCTGGAGAAATGCTTAGCAGTTAGGAGCACTTGCTCTTGCAGAGGATCTGGGTTGGGTTCCCAGGACCCACATCAGGTGGCTCACAACCGCCTGGAACTTCAGTTCCAAGGAACCTGACCCCCTCTTCTGGCTTCCACAGGCATCTACACACATGTGGTACACATAAACTCACTCACGCGCGCACGCACACACACACACACATTAAATAACAAAAATAAATCTCTTTTAAAAAATGCTTCCCTACCCTTGAACTCAATAAAATCAAGAAAGTTTTTTAAAAAATCAAGTGTCCAGGTGGCACCTTTCTTACCTGCCTCTTTCACTCTTCAATTTCTTCTTCAGTTAGACAATCAAGATGTGATAAACTGACTAGACAGAAATCAAGACTTGAGGGGTTGAGGTCTATCCTACCTCCTCTATGGTTTACCTTCTGTTGGTTAAATGTCTCTGAAACTAATGCATGGTCAGGATAAGGGCAAAAGGGTCTGGTAGGCCAGACTAGTCTCACTGCTTATGGGTATTCTGAAATATACACCTTCTGGATACAAACCTTCAGTCAGCCACTTGGAAAATACAGACCATGCAGTTCTGTAAAGTCCTGTGAACAAAACTTCTCTTGGGAGAACTCTAGTATAAATCCCCTAGTCAACATGTTGCAAGCATGTATGGGGTTTTTCCCCCGCCCTAGGAATGAATGAGTCAACTGCTTTCAACAGATTTTCAAAGGATTACTTGACCCAAAGAGGTTAAGAACCAGCCAAGCATGGTGGCACATATCTATTGTCTCAGTTGGTTGGGAGGTCGAGTTGGAAGAATCACTTGAGCCCATGTTTGAGACCAGCTTGAGAGAGAGAGAGAGAGAGAGAGAGAGAGAGAGAGAGAGAGAGATCATGAATTTTACTTACCCATTTGAAGACAAGAAGGAAAGAATGTCTCATAATGTGTTTATGTATACTACTGTTTCCTAGCTGAGGGTTATTGTGCAGCCCCCCCCCCCCCGCCCCAGGCCAATGTCTGGAGAGGATTTTGGTTGTTACAACTGGATGAACACTACTGAAATCTAGTGAGTAGATGTCAGAAGTGCTGTTAAACATCCTACAAGGGAGTTCCTCATCGCTCTAAAACTTATGTGATTCAAAACGCGTATTTGTTACCAAAGTGCCACATACACTAAACATATAAATCTTTGTGGCTGTTATGTAAGTGAATATGTATTTCTTTTTTAAAATTTTATGTTTATGAATGTAGTGCCTGCACGTATGGAAGTGCTCCCTTGTTGTGTAATGCCCTTAGAGGTTAGAAGAGAACTTCAGATTCCTTGGAGCTGGAGTTACAGTTGTTAGTTGCCATATGGGTGCTGGAAACCAAACCCAGGTCCTCTGCAAAAGCAGCCAGTGCTCTTAGCCACTGAGCCATCTCTCTAGCCCCATGAATATGTATTTCTTACAAGTAACATTATCATTGGGTATAAAATTCAACTCTACTGAAATAGAGACAAATAATTTTTTAAGTAGATTCTCTACCCACTCTGTATACTTTTTTAAAAAATATTTTATTATTTTTATTTTATGTGTATGGGTGTGTTGCCTGCATGTATGTGAGTGCACCCATGTCGTGCAATGCTCTGGAGGTCAGAAGAGGGCCTCGGATTCCCCTGGAACTGGAGTTAAGGACAGTTTGTAGCCTCCATGTGGGTTCTGGGAATTGAACCCAGGTCCTCTGCAAGAGCAGTCAGTGCTCTTAACTGCTGAGCTATCTCTCCAGCCCTGACTCTGTATATGCTTACATATACCTTCTAGGCCCAATTAAATGCTGTCTTCCATGAACATTCCATGATGCTCTCGGAATTAATCCAGTCTTTTTCTAGATTTTCTTGGCACCTTATCTGACCCTCTGCTAAGCGCCTCTTATCGCGGTCCACATTAGTACCATAATTTCACTTATAAACCAGTCTTATCTCTCTCACTAAAGACAAAAAATATATATCTCCAATTATTGTTATCTTACCACTTTTCTATGTATACTTTTCTATAGTCCAACTGTACCTTTTTAAAGGAAAAATTGTATTACACATGCATCTACAACATTTCTCAATGAACAGTAATATGGATACTTTTGCAAGTGAGTTTGTCTTAGTCTTGGTCATTGGCTATCTAAGGTTCCAGAACAATAACTAATATATGTACCTAGCACCACAGTAACCCAGTTAGATGACTCACAACCCTTTCATTAATTTAGAGGCATTCTGTTGAAATATGTCCCATACTGATGAGGATTTCTGACCCTGTTCTTGCTATTTTGGACATTTTTAGTTCATTCCAGTCAGCCTTATGGATCATTTTGCATGAGAACTTGGTAATGACTTGCTGATGACTGTGACTGAGAAGGAGCAGGGTAGAGGTGGCAGAAGGACAGAGACTAAATGACATCAAGAGTCAAAGGTATAACTTTCATTGAAGAATAGATGTAATTCTTTGAAATTTATGTTTCAGTAAGAATTTGGTTTAATCATAATAAAACAAATGTATAAAGATGCCTTGATAAAATCCATTAATTTGTATGCTAGCTTAATAATTAATAATGAAAAAGAATTGGAGGACCAAAGAAATGGCTCAGTGGCAAAGAGCATTTACTGCTCTTCCAGAGAAATTGAGACTTGAATTTGATTTCCAGCAATGGGGCAGAACTGTAACTACAGCTGTAACTATAGCTCCAGGAGATCTGAAACCCTCTTCTGGACTCTTTGTGCACCTGCATACACATAGCATATACTCACACAAAGACAAACACACATATGCATGAAATTTTTTTTTAAACAAAAGGAGGACCAGTGACATGATTCAGCAACTTACAACCAAACCTGATGACCTGAATTTGATCCTGGGGATCCACATGATAGAAGGAGAGATCTGATTCTCAAAAGTTGTCCTTTTGTCCTTCTCTCTCTCTCTCTCTCTCTCTCTCTCTCTCTCTCTCTGGAAGTTTTGCTTGTTTGTTTGTTTGTTTGAGACAGTGTCTGGAACTGCCAGGCCTGGAACCCTCTAGGTAGAACCAGGTTGACCTGGATCTCACAGAGATCCACCTGCCTCTGCCTCTCAGAGTGCTGGGATTAAAAGAATATGTCACTACACCCAGAAATAATTTTTTTTTCCAAAAAAGAAAGTGATACAATCATCACCTGTAGTATGTCCTGCATGTATCTGAACAAAGACACTGTCCCTTCCCCCTGTGAAATGTCTTTTCTAAAATAAAAAAAAAGTAAATGCCCATGGACAGAATAGCATCTCCATTATAGGATTTGATAAGACTATATAGAACTGCTTTTCTCATAGATAAAAGACAAAATTTTTAAATTTGGCTGTCATTAAAACACAGAGAAAGTAGGCTGGCAGGATGGCTCAGTAGGGAAAGGCACTTGCCACCAAGTCTGATGACCTTAGTGTGATCCCCAGAACCCACCCACATAGTGTAAGGAGAAAACAGACTCCTACAAATTGTTCTCTGACCTCCACATATGAACCCGGGCACACATGCTGCTGCCGAAATAAATAAATGTAAAAATAAATAAATAATAAAACAGAGAAAAGTGGGATGTCATAATAGCTTGCTCTTTCTATCTAATTTACTTGCTACATTAAACACCTCAGATTATTCATGTTGGCTTATAAATCAAGCCTCACCTGTTTCACATAGAGATGAGTGGTATTTATTTACCAGAATTTACTCATAGCCAGGCATTTTTATTACTTTGCAATCCTTCTTTAGGCATTAATGCTGATTTAAGGGAATTTATCAGCCAGGTGAGGTTGGCACATGCCTGTACTCTC